GTTCCAGTAGAATGTGTGGTTCCAAACTTGTGCAGCATTGTTAAATACACCTGCTTTAGATGCATCGCCAGCAACAGCAACAATGATCTCTTCTAAAGTTTTACCTTCAAGATCAGTACCCTTGATTAAGTTGTTTAAATTTACAACATAAGTATTGTGGTGCTTGTCATGATGGAATTCTAAAGTTTCTTTGCTGATGTGCGGCGCAAGATCTTCATAGCCGTATGGTAAAGCAGGTAAAGTAATGGTTGTCATGTTTTAAATTCCTTGCATTTAGCTGGGTTTTAACATTAAGTGGCTTTATTGTAATGGATTCTTTCAACAATTGTGCAAGATGTTAAATAACAATACACAATTTATTTCGATTTAATACGTATATAGAAAATCTAAAAAGTACATCGCATTTTTATGGAATAGTGTCTAATCGGCAGAGCAATATTTGCCAAAAAATGCGTTACATTTTTTAGGATAGCGCTTAAATCGGGTTGTTGAGTTCGAAATAACTAGCGTCAATATTGAACTGTTCAGCGATCGCTTGAGCAAGTTGTTGAACACCATAGCGCTCTGTTGCATGGTGTCCACATGCATAGTAATGCACATCTAACTCTTTGGCTTCATAAAAAGTACGTTCGCTGACTTCACCTGAAATATAGGCATCACAATTCATCGCTGCCGCTTTGCCTATAAAATCCTGTGCTCCACCTGTACAAAATCCGACTTTTTGAATCAATGATTTTTCTGCATTGAGATGGATGGTATCAAAGCCTAATTTTTCAGTGAGAAGCTGTTTAAAATCTTCTGGTGAGATCGGATTTTTTAAATAACCAATATTACCAATCGGATTGCGTTCGCTTGGGTCTAAAGCTTCAATGTTTTCCAGCTCAAGGATTTTGGCAATCATTGCATTATTCCCCAATATTGGATGCGAATCTAAGGGGAGGTGGTATCCAACAAGTGAAATATCATTTTGAATTAATGCTTTGATTCGTTTGCCACGCATGCCAGTGATTGGATAGGGTTCACCTTTCCAGAAATAACCATGATGGACCAAGAGAAGGTCTGCTTGTTGTGCAATCGCTGCATCAATCGCATCCTGCGACGCGGTGACTGCACACAGGATTTTTTTTACTTCAGATCGTCCTTCGATTTGTAATCCATTGGGCGCGTAATCTTTAAATTCATGTGATTTTAAGGTTTGATCACACCACTGGATGATATCTTTGAGTAAAGCCATGAATAACCTTTATTTAAATGAAGTGTGTTAAGACCATCAAAACATATTTTAAATTGTAACTAAAGCTGAACAAAACTCTTTGTGTTTTTTATGTTTCTTGATTGAATTGCTTTACAATATACAAATTGCTTTTGCATCAACGAATTAAAAAATTCTTAGAGGAATAAAAACGTGCGGCGTTCATTTACTTGGCTCCCTTGGGTTTTACTGATACTGGTTATTATTTGTTTTGTGGTTTGGCAAAAACTTCAACAGCCCAAAGCACCGATTGCTGCTGATGGTGTGAAGATGCCTGCTGAGAAAGTTGAGCCTTTGGTTAATACATCTCGAACGGGTGGTGTAGTGTCCTATAGTGCTGCCGTTAAGGTTGCCGCACCAGCAGTGGTGAATATTTTTACCACTCAAAAAGTAAAACAAAATCATCCATTGCTCAATGATCCTGCGTTTAGAGAGTTCTTTGGAAATCAGATCCCTGAACAAAATCAAAACCAGAATGAAAACAGTTTAGGTTCTGGAGTGATTGTACGTCCAGATGGTTATATTTTGACAAATAACCATGTGATTGCTCAAGCAGATCAAATCGTTGTTGCCTTGCAAGATGGTCGCCGTGCAGAAGCGACTGTAATCGGGACAGACCCTGATACAGATTTGGCTGTGATTAAAATAGAATTGAAAGAGTTACCAGTCTTGCCATTTAAATTGAGTGGCAATGAAGTCGGTGATGTTGTGTTGGCAATAGGCAATCCATTTGGTGTAGGGCAAACGGTAACGCAGGGGATTATCTCTGCGACGGGTCGTTCTGATCTCGGTATCAATACTTACGAAGACTTTATTCAGACCGATGCAGCCATTAACCCGGGTAATTCTGGTGGTGCATTGATTGATGTGGCTGGGAATTTGATTGGGGTTAATACTGCAATCTTCTCACAGTCAGGTGGTTCGTTGGGGATTGGCTTTGCCATTCCTGCCAAAATCTGTCAGCAAATTTTAAATTCAATTTTAAAAGATGGTCGTGTGATTCGTGGATGGATGGGCATTAGTTTAGTTCCGCCAACGCAAGCAGATGTTTTACAACCGCGTCAGCCAGGTGTTGTGGTTGCTGATGTATTGAAAAAGGGTCCTGCGGCGGAAGCTGGGATTAAAGTGGGCGATCGTATTGTTAAAGTGAATAATGAAGATATTACTTCAACCTCACATTTAATTAATTATGTTGCACTCCAAGCACCGAATACTGATATTCAAGTTGAAGTCATTCGTGGCGAACAAACCGTCAATCTCACTGTTAAAGTGGGTGAGCGTAAAGTTCAAAGTGCTGACTCACAATTTATCCCTTTACCACGACGTTAAGTCTTACGAAAATTTTAGCCCTGATGAATCAGGGCTTTTTTATTTCTGAGATGCAGATTTTTCTTAGCTCATAAGACTATTTAGTGAGGCCAATTGGCACAGGGATTAGGTAATAGGCTATGGATTGCACCAACTTCTTCATCTGAGAGCTTTGCATCTTTATTTTTATCTAAGAATTTAAATAATTTAATGTTTTTATCTTTACCTTGAAACTGTCTGTCATCTGGCCAAGGATAGGGTTCAAAGTCTTTAACCTTTAAAAATTCATTGAGCTCAAAGGTACCATTTTTATTTAAATCATAGGTTTTATGGAATTTCTCCCAGTCTAAAGAAGCCGGATCACAGGCAAAGCTAAAGCTTGAAAGTGTGCTACAACTGAGAATTAGACTATAGATTATTTTATTCATCTGTTTTATCCCATTTTTTTAATTAGCTTTGATTATAAAGACAAAGTGATTTTAAACGAATGGCTGCATCTCAACAAAACTATTTCAGTCTTGATTCAATCTATTCGATAGAAAATACTATATTTTTAAAACAAAAAAACAGTGCCGAAGCACTGTTTTTATTGCAATAAAATGCTATTCAATTAACTTTCTTGTTGAATCCCAGCAACTAACCAATCTTGCGTAGACCCTGCTGGTTTAACAAAGTGCCATACTTCTGAGAACGGTACAGGTTGACTATTTAAGTCTTCGCTGACAGTTCCAGTAAAACGAACACTCACCACGTATTGTCCATTTTCTGTCGCGCTATCCAATACCAATGCATTTAAGTTTGAAAACTCAGCCACATCTTGATCTTGGTTTGCCATGATATCGCTGTACATTGACTGATAAAGATCAGCTGTTAAATAGCGTTGAATTTCAGCAATATTGCTCACTGAGTTCATTGACTGAATATGGTTAAAGCGTTGACGAGCAACACGTAAGAAAGCAGCAGGTTCAGTTCCATCCGGAAGTTGATTGCCGCTTTGCATAGAGGCTGCGCCAAACGGTGCTTGTGTTGCAGTACCACCATTGACAGACTGACCAAAAATATTGGTCGTGTCGTTTGAACTACGTGCCGTATTGTTTTGACCAAATGGCGCAGATGTTGGACCTGTACTATTTGGTGCATACGGATTATTGCTGGCTAATTTTTTTTTTGCACCGAATTTACGGAACAAGAAGAATGCAGCACCTGCGATCAGGATTAACCAGATCCAGCTTGGAATTCCACCTTTTTTCTCTTCTTGTTGAGCAGCTGCTTGTTGTTTCGCTAATTCAGCATCATTGGTCTGTGCTTGGGCATTACCATTATGATCATCAGCCATTGCATTTGCCGCAATCGCACCTACTGCTGCACCTGCAACACCAGCAGCAACCATTTTACCTACACCAGAACCTGATTTTTGTTGACCAGGTTGAGCAGGCGTTCGTTGTTGAGCAGGCGTAACTTGTCGAGGTTGAGAATAAGACTGACTTGAACTCGAAGAACGGCTCATGCCATGGCTTTTACCACCACCTGCACGTTTTGCTTCAGCTAAAGGTGCTACAGCCAAAGTTGCCATTAAAATACCTGCGACCAAGCCGCGCTGTCGAACTTCCATTGAATCTACCTATATTAAAAATATGTTGATGAATATGAGTGCAAGCACATTACTGTAATTGCTTTTCATAGTTCTCTTTATGCAGTCTTTTTAAGAGAATTTCAATGTTTTTAAGATTTATTTGCACATATATTCACATAAACATAACGAATATATTGCTGGGCTTTTAAAGCCCAATACGGATTTTCTAATCTATTGAAATAATTAAAACTATCAATTTAAAAAGGCTTTTATCATATCGGTGGAATTGTGCTGTGATATACAAATTTAGTGCAGCAATTTATGATAAAAATTCTCATGATTTAATGGATAATTTATAGCGTGTAGTATCCAGCCTTTACCTTTAAATTATTTGAATAAATATCGATCGATCAATCCGTTATAAAAATGATTAAAGCAAAATTGTTGTTTCAACTTTAGTCAGAGATTTAATTTTTATTGAATCTGTGAGGGTTCATTTAATGAGGGAGAAGAGGCAAATTTTATTTAAGCTCTCTATCAAAGCAAGCTTACTTCCTTGTAAGGCTTGGTCCTATTTTATAAATGGGATGCTTAGACTTCATCACTCAATTGCATGGCTTCTGTTAATGCTTCATGCAGTCGAGCCACTGCAATGATTTGTACACCTGCAATAGGCTTTTGTGGTGCATTGCCTCTAGGTACGATGATGTATTTAAAACCATGTTTTATGGCTTCTTTTAAGCGTTCTTGTCCATTGGGAACAGGGCGTATTTCACCCGATAATCCCACTTCACCAAATACAGCCAATTGTTGTGGTAAAGCTTTAGAGCGTAAACTTGAAGCACAGGCCAAAAGTACCGCAAGATCAGAGCCTGTTTCGGTAATTTTCAAGCCACCCACGACATTGACATAAACGTCTTGTCCAGAGGTTTGTACACCACCATGGCGATGCATAACCGCAAGCAACATATTTAAGCGGTTTTGTTCTAACCCCAGTGCGACCCGACGCGGTTGTCCATGCGCGTCATCAACCAGTGCTTGAACTTCAACCAATAATGGCCGTGTACCTTCACGACTGATCATCACCACTGAACCGGGAATCGCTTCATCATAACGACTTAAAAAGATGGCAGATGGATTGGCGACTTCTTTTAAGCCCTTATCTGTCATGCCAAATACACCAAGTTCATTGACTGCACCAAAACGGTTTTTGACAGCACGAATCATACGGTAACGGGAGTCAGATTGCCCTTCAAAATACAGTACGCAATCGACCATATGCTCAAGCACACGCGGACCTGCCAAGGCACCTTCTTTGGTGACGTGACCAACAAGAAATAACGCTGTACCACTATTTTTTGCAAATCGAGTCAATAGTGCCGCTGACTCACGAATTTGCGAAACACCGCCGGGAGCAGATTGTAAGGTTTCGGTATATAAGGTTTGGATTGAGTCAAGGATGGCAACGGCAGGGCGTAATTGTGCGAGGGTATCACAAATTCGTTCTACACACGTTTCTGCCATGACTTGTAATTTATCAGTAGCTAAGTCGAGGCGATTGGCACGTAAAGCCACTTGTGAAAGTGATTCTTCCCCTGTGACATAGAGCGCTGAATTCTTCGCAGCAGCCATATGTGTTGCGGTTTGCAACAGAATCGTTGATTTACCAATACCGGGGTCACCCCCGATCAGGACGACAGAACCTGTGACTAAGCCACCGCCAAGTACTCGGTCAAATTCACCAATACCCGTAGCTAAACGTGTTTCATTGGACACGGTAATCTGGTTAAGCAAGGTGACATTGGCTGCTTGTCCTGCATACCCACCGCCCATAGGTTTGGCACGATGTGATACGACAGGTTCAATTCGCACTTCAGTCAGAGAATTCCATTCACCACAGTCTGAACATTGACCTGCCCATTTTGGATGGTCTGTACCACATTGTTCACAACGATAAACAGTTTTGACTTTGCCCATTTTGAGTGCGTTCACCTTTTGAATGATGTGCTGAATGTACCAATAGCGCCATTGAAATACAATTTTTTGCTTAACATCTCGCCAAAAACTATTTTGGCACGTAAACTGCAAATCGAAGGAACGGTAAAAATAAGAAAGGTAAGGGATAGTCGTTTGACTATTAAATAAGCTAAAAGATGAAAAAACTTAGATATTTTAAGTATTCATTGAAAAAGGCTTTTTTATTTTTTTTGTTTTAAGCTACTTTTGTACAACGAAATCTGAGAGAAGAATATAACAATGTCAAATGAAAACCTCAGTTCTTCTGCGGAAACAGGTGAACTAGCAAGAAGTTTATCGAATCGTCATCTACAATTGATTGCAATTGGTGGTGCGATTGGTACAGGCTTATTTATGGGTTCAGGGAAGACGATCAGTCTTGCGGGACCATCCATATTATTTATTTACATGATCATTGGTTTGATGGTTTTTTTCGTCATGCGTGCGCTTGGTGAACTGTTACTTTCGAACTTGCAATACAAGTCATTTATTGATTTTTCTACAGATTTGATCGGACCATGGGCAGGCTATTTTGTCGGATGGACCTATTGGCTGTGCTGGATCACAATTGGTATTGCAGATCTATCTGCAATTATCTATTACTTACAGTTCTTTAATAATGGGTTGCCATTTACTCCAAGTGAAGGGGCAATGATAAGTGTTGCCGCAATCTTCTTTATTTTAGGGTTGAACCTTGTCACAGTAAAACTGTTTGGTGAATTGGAATTCTGGTTTGCGCTGATCAAAATTATTGCCATTGTGGTGTTAATTTTGGTGGGTTTCTGGATGATTTTTACCGGCTTTACTTCAGCAGCAACAGGTCAAGTGGCGTCATTTACTCATCTTTGGGATCATGGGGGAATGTTCCCGAAAGGCTTTGAAGGTTTCTTAGCAGGCTTCCAAATTGCCATCTTTGCTTTTGTCGGTGTTGAACTTGTTGGTACCACAGCAGCAGAAACCAAAGATCCAGAGAAGAACTTACCTAAAGCCGTTAACTCAATTCCAATCCGTATTATTTTCTTCTATGTATTGGCATTGGTGATTGTTATGTCAGTTACACCATGGAATATGATTGATCCTAAAGTTAGCCCATTTGTGAACTTGTTTAGTCAAGCGGGAATTGCTGCGGCTGCAATCATTATGAACTTGGTGGTCCTTTCTTCTGTAATGTCTTCAATGAACAGTGGTGTATTCTCAACAAGTCGTATGCTGTTTGGTCTTTCTCGTGAAGATCAAGGTCCTAAAGCATTTGGTCTGTTAAATAAACGCGCAGTTCCAGCGAATGCTTTATATTTCTCTGGTGTATGTCTATTGGGTGGTGCGGCATTACAATATTTCGTTCCAAACACAGTCGAAGCATTTACTTTAGCAACCACACTATCCACGATCTTGTTTATCTTGGTATGGATTATTATTTTGTGGAGTTACTTGGTGTACTACAAAACACGCCCAGAACTTCATGCAAAATCAGTGTTTAAATTACCAGGTGGACCGATTACTTGTTATATCGTGATCATTTTCTTTGTTGGTACGATTGGTATTCTTGCATTAGAACCAGATACAATGAAATCATTGATGGTCAGTCCGATCTGGCTCATTATCCTTGCAATTGGTTATTTCTGTTTTTATAAGAAAAAATAGTCATTAACGATTTCAATGATATTGATAAGAAAACGTCAGTAATTTACTGGCGTTTTTTTTATTCTCATTTTAAGCTTTAAGGCTTCCGCTTTGGTCTATATTTTAGATTCAAGGTATAAGGTATACTGACGAAAATTTTGGAAATAGGTGAACAAATGCGTTTTGCAATTTGTGGCATCGGTTTAGTTTTAGCAAGTACAGTGTTGGTGGGTTGTGGTCAATCAGGCAATTTGCAGTTGGCAAACAGTCAAGACTATGACAAACGTGCCAAATATTTGCTCTATTCAAAAGATGCAAGTAAAGCTGCCCAAAGCAAGGCAAAAGTGCAAGATCAGACAGCCATTGCAGATCAATCTGTGCCAGCGTCTCAAGCCACTTCAAACTAAACCTAATTACACTTTCATTGAAAGGATAGATTCATGAGTTTCTCCCGCATTCATGGGGTATTGCATGCAGAGCAATGTTCTTTAGATCAACTCGCGCAGCAATATGGCACACCGCTTTATGTTTATTCAAAGGCAACTTTTGAAAAGCATTATTTGGATATGGATCAGGCATTTAGCTTTATCGATCATCAAATTTGTTTTGCGGTGAAGTCAAACTCAAATCTTGCGGTATTGAATGTATTGGCAAAATTAGGCTCAGGCTTTGATATTGTCACAGGTGGTGAGCTTGCACGGGTCCTTGCCGCAGGTGGAGATGCTACAAAAATCGTATTCTCAGGTTTAGGCAAACAAGAAGCAGATATTCAAAAAGCCCTAGAAGTAGGGATTGCGTGCTTTAATGTGGAATCCCATGCTGAACTTGATCGTATCCAAAAAGTTGCGGCAGGTTTAGGCAAAAAAGCTCCGATTTCGTTACGGGTAAACCCAGATGTAGATGCAAAAACACATCCTTATATTTCGACAGGTTTAAAAGAAAATAAATTTGGTATTCCATCAGATTCAGTTTTTGAAACCTATCAATATGCGGCGTCTTTACCCAACCTTGATGTGATTGGGATCGATTGTCACATTGGTTCGCAATTAACTGAAACACAACCTTTCGTAGATGCGCTTGACCGCGTCATTATGATGATTGCAAAATTGAAAGAATTGGGCATCCAGCTTAAACACATCGATATTGGTGGTGGTTTAGGGGTGACCTATAAAGATGAAACACCGCCAAGTGTTGCTGAATATGCCAATGCAATGCGTCCAGCTTTAGAGAAATTAGGCTTAAAAGTCTATATGGAACCGGGGCGGAGTATTTCAGCAAATGCTGGGGTATTGGTGACTAAAGTTGATTTGTTAAAACCAACCAACTATCGTAATTTCGCGATTATTGATGCTGCAATGAATGACTTGATTCGTCCATCGCTTTACCAAGCGTGGATGGACATTCAACCTGTGATATCGCGTATAGATTTTGAAGCAAAGACTTGGGATATCGTGGGCGCCATTTGTGAAACGGGCGATTTCCTTGGTAAAGAACGTGAACTTGCCATTCAGGAAAATGACAATCTTGCTGTTTTAGGTGCAGGTGCGTATGGTTTTGTCATGAGTTCAAATTATAACAGCCGTGGTCGTGCTGCTGAAGTCATGGTCGATGCTGACCAATCGTATGTGATTCGTAAGCGAGAAACGATTGAATCACTTTGGGAAAATGAAAGCTTATTGCCTTAAGGAGCCATTTTAAATGTTATTAGAATTTACCAAAATGCATGGTCTGGGCAATGACTTTATGGTGGTTGATTTAATCAGCCAGCGTGCATTTTTTGATGCAATGACCATTCGCCGTTTGGCTGATCGCCATTTCGGGATTGGTTTTGATCAACTGTTAATTGTTGAACCACCAGATTTTCCCAATGTTGATTTCAAATATCGTATTTTCAATGCTGATGGTTCAGAAGTAGAGCAATGCGGCAATGGGGTGCGTTGTTTTGCACGGTTTGTTTATGAACGTCAGTTGACCAATAAAAAGCGTTTTAAAGTTCAAACCTGCGCTGGTATTGTCGAACCTGAGTTGGGTGAAAATGGTTGGGTGCGCGTCAACATGGGCTATCCAAAATTTTTACCCAATGAGATTCCATTTCTTGCAGAAGAGCCAGATGCATTGTATGACATCGCATTGCAAGATAATGAATTGCTGACTATTGATGTGGTCAATATGGGCAATCCACATGCAGTGACAATCGTTCCCGATGTTTTAACTGCAGATGTTGCCAAAATTGGTCCTCAAGTGGAAGCACATGCACGTTTTCCGCAACGAGTAAATGCAGGCTTTATGCAAATTGTTGATGAAAAGCATGCGCGCTTACGTGTGTTTGAACGTGGTGTGGGCGAAACGATGGCATGTGGTACAGGCGCTTGTGCAGCCGCAGTCTCTGGAATGCGTCGTGGCTTACTTGCCAATAATGTCGAAATTGAGTTGGCTGGTGGTAAATTACAAATCGAATGGAAAGAAGGCGATGTGGTTTGGATGACAGGGCCGACGGCAACCGTTTATGAAGGTCGTTTAGATTTACGTTATTTCCAAGGTTGATCTGCTTTTCTTTTTACAGCTTAGAGCAAAGCCCTGAATTAATTTCAGGGCTTTTTTATCTCTAACTGTTTAGTTTTTGGATTAAAAAAGACCAGATAAATGTTTATACTGTTTAGAGATCTAAATAAATAATCACAAGGAAAAATAAACAATAGCAATAGATCGTATTGATTGGCATGGCGAATCCGCAGAGCAAGCAGGCTTTCCATATGAAAATGGTGGAACACATATTGGAATTTATTTGGCCTGGATTATCAATAACCAATTGGAAGGTGAGTTTCACCAAGAAGAAAGTGCCGATGAATTAGAACAAGTACGCACACGTCAAATGACTGGACGACAGTTTTTGATCAATATGTGTGATGAAAAATTTTGGGAAGAAGATTTAAATGAACAAGGCTTTGAGTTTACCCAAGCCTATTATGAGAGCCATCAATATTTTAAAGATTATGATGAAATCTTAGTTGATGCTAGAGGTTTGACAGATACTTATGCTGTGGATGATACATGGGACAATTATGATTTGATGGCAGTCGTGATTAGTCAAAAATATGCACAATGGCAGCAGAACCGTTCATAACTCTATGCGCTTTAAGCCAATAAATACTTTCTCTAAGATAAGCTTTTGTATCAGTCTCGAATTTACCCATAAAAAAACACAGTCCAAAATGGGTAGGACTGTGTTTTAACGTAGATCTGTCTGGAGACCAAATCAACGTTAAGTAACCACACTTACAGCGCGCATACTTGTATAATTTATATATGAGGATACTTGTGTATTTTTCAACCAGTCTAGTTGCCAATTTTAAATTAGCAACAGTCGTTATGTTCACTCACCATTAATTCATTGAATGAATACCAAACATATTGCCTTCAGTATCAATGGCTAAAACAATATGCCCATGAGGCCCAATCGACATTTTTGTTTGATGAACTTGACCACCAGCGGCTGCTACTCGGGCTTCTTCAATGGCACAAGCTTCACTACTGAAATAGACAATTGTACTGTTTCCACCAGCAGAAATGCCTTCCATTTTAACCAATGAGCCTGTTGCGCCGTATTGGCTCATATCCGATGGAAATGTCCACATTTCCACCGATGAATCGTTTGGATCACTAAGTAAACTCAGCTCAGAACCAATCACCGTTTGATAAAATAATTTTGCCCGTGCCATATCATTGACATAGATTTCGAACCAACACACTGGATTTGACATAAACGTGTCCTTTTATTTTGCTGTTATCGGTTTTATAACCATACATGGCTGTATTTATAAGCTTAAGGGCAGTTGAGCCTTTAAACTCTATTTTTAGACTTTATTGTGATTAGCTTATGACAAACTTAACTCAAGCGTAGCTGTATTTTGTAAATAAGTTTATTTTTTAATCAATATTCTAAGTGAACTTAAAGAAACAATAGATTATAAACATAAAAAAAGAACGCCGAAGCGTTCTCTTTTTCGGTCATTGGATCAATGACGTGCAGCTTTTTTGCCTTCATCAACCGCTTTAACGATTGGTGCTTTGACCAATGGCGTAGGTTGCTCAACCAAAGCAAGTGGAAGAATCTCATCGATACTTTTCACCGCTTTAATTTCCAAACCATCTTTCACGTTCTGAGGAATTTCAGCTAAGTCACGAACGTTTTCTTGTGGGATAAACACCAGTTTAACGCCACCACGATGTGCTGCTAAAAGTTTCTCTTTTAAGCCACCAATACGCATTGCTCGGCCACCTAAGCTGGTTTCACCTGTCATTGCAATATCAGGACGAATTGCAATCCCAGTGAATGCCGAAACCAGAGCAGTGGTTAATGCCAAACCTGCAGATGGTCCATCTTTCGGTGTCGCACCTTCAGGTAAGTGAACGTGTACGTCAGTTTCTTCAAAACGAGAAGCTTCAATACCCAATTCATCAGCACGTGTACGAACCACAGTCATTGCCGCAGTAATAGATTCTTTCATTACATCGCCGAGTGAACCCGTGGTAATAAATTTACCTTTACCTTTTACTGCTGCAACTTCGATGGTCAATAACTCACCACCGACAGAAGTCCATGCCAAGCCATTTACACGACCCACTTGAGCTTCTTCTTCCGCCATACCGTAATCAAATTTATGCACACCTAAATATTCAGGTAAGTTTTCAGCAGTGACATCAATATGTAAGTTTTTCGCTTTCTTACTGACTGATTCTTTCACCACTTTACGTGCAATCTTCGATACTTCACGTTCAAGGCTACGTACACCAGCTTCACGGGTATAACGACGTACGATGTCACGAATCGCTTCTTCATGAACAGTCAATTCTTTGCCACGTAAACCATTGTTCTTGATTGCTTTTGGAACAAGGTAACGATCAGCAATATTGACTTTTTCGTCTTCGGTATAACCCGGCAAACGAATTACTTCCATACGGTCTAATAAAGCCTCAGGAATATTCATGCTGTTTGCAGTACAGATAAACATTACTTCAGACAAGTCAAGATCAAGATCTAAGTAGTGATCGTTAAACTTGTTGTTCTGTGATGGATCAAGTACTTCAAGCAGGGCAGAAGCTGGATCACCACGATAATCCTGTGCCATTTTGTCAACTTCGTCGAGCAAGAACAGAGGGTTCTTAACGCCAACTTTGGTCAATGACTGCACAATTTTACCCGGCATCGCACCAATATAGGTACGACGATGACCACGAATTTCTGCTTCGTCACGGACACCACCGAGTGCCATACGAACGAATTCACGACCAGTTGCTTTGGCAATTGATTCCCCGAGTGAGGTTTTACCAACACCAGGAGGACCAACTAAACAAAGGATTGGACCTCGAAGTTTTTTCACGCGTGATTGAACTGCTAAGTATTCAACAATACGTTCTTTAACTTCATCCAAACCATAGTGGTCTGTATCTAAAATTTCCTGAGCTTTGGCTAAGTTAATGCTGACTTTGCTGGCTTTATTCCAAGGCGTATCTAAAATAGCCTCAATATAGTTGCGTACAACAGCAGCTTCACTTGACGCAGGTTGCATTGCTTTGAGTTTACGGAATTCATTTTCAGCTTTTTTACGCACATGTTCAGGTAAATCAGCTTCCGCTAAACGTTTTTCAATTTCAGCAACATCATCTTCCGCGCCACCATTCATATCGGAAAGTTCACGCTGAATGACTTTCATCTTCTCATTGAGGAAGTATTCGCGTTGGTTCTTTTCCATTTGGCGTTTTACAGAGTCATGCAATGTTTGCTCAATCTGTTGTTCTTCAGATTGTTGCAATAAATAAGTCATCAGCTCTTGTAAGTGTGCTTCAAACTCATCGTGCTCTAGGAATTTTTGTTTTACATCGATATTTAAAGGTACACGGGTTGCAACAAAGAACAACAATTGTAATAAATCGTCGATTTTATTTGCTGCTGCAATCAATTCACGTGCATTACGTAATTTTGCTTCTGCATACTGTGAAAACAGTGCACGTAATTCTTCTACACGTGTTGCTTGAGTATCTTTATCTACAGATATCGTCATTGGGCTTAATGCATGTTCAGCCGATAAGTATTCATCATTGTCGATGATTTCAACCAACTTAGAACGATGTAAGCCTTCAATTAGTACCTTGATACAGTTTTCATCATTTTCATGATTCACAACTTGTACAATCTTCGCGACGGTACCATATTGATATAAGTTGTCGTGATCAATTTCTTCTGTAAGCGAATCTTTTTGCGCAACTACAAATACTAAATTGTCACTGTTACGAGCCACATCAACTGCATTGATCGATTTTTCACGACCCACAAATAGCGCAATTTGCATATGTGGGTACACAACCACGTCACGCAACGCTAAAAGCGGTAATACACTTGGAACCTGTGGCTCTAAGTTTTCTTGATTCATAATAATCTCAGACATGGGCACTCCTAATGAGTGACAACGGTGTTGCCATGTTTTTTATAGTGATGTGTATTTCAAAAATTACAAGGGCTTTGCCAAATAAAAAGTTTAAAAAATCGCAAGTATCTGATTAACAATTAAACCTATTTGCATTTATTGGTCAATTTAACGGCGAAAATAATAGGTTTTTGCTGGGGTAATTAAGCTATCTAAGGGCTGATCCCATGGATTTCTTTTTAGCTCGTGGGTGAGTAATAACTGAAAATTATGCGCTAAACCGAGTCGATGTGGGCGGTGTGCAGCTGATGCAAGCGTTCGATCATAGAAACCGCCTCCCATGCCCATACGGCTACCTTTTAAATCACAAGCCAATAAAGGCATGACCACCAGATCGAGTATTGAAATATGCTTAGCACGACTTGCCATGGGTTCTAGCATCCCAAGACGATGTAAAGAAAAGCGCCGATTGCGGAACTGCCGATTTGATATTTTGACCCAAACCAGTTTTTTGTTCATATTACAGATCATGGGCAAATACACGGTTTTTCCAATCGCACAGCAATATTCGATAAGCAATTTGGTTTGAATTTCACCAAAAGCATCTAAATATAATCCGATTTTCTGCGCATTGAAAAAATGGCGATGGCGTAGCATCTGTTTAAAGCATTGCAATTCAATGACCATTTGTTGATTGCGGGTCAGCTTTTGTCGTTGTTGTCTTAAAGATCTACGCAGTTGTGAATTTTGATCCATGTTTTGAATGCTAAAACTAAACTGTTGCCAGTATACAATGAATTGATAAACAGCATTTATAACGAAATGATCAAGATGTTATTTTGATTATCTTTTATTCACTAGAGTTTGCGATAAATGGGCAGTTTTAAGCTATTATGCTAATCGTTTGATAAAACAAGATTAAATATTGATGTTCTACATTTTAAGTCCGGAGTATCTATTCTGACAAATGTAGGATTTTGCTCAGTCAATTGCAAATGAAAGCACTTCAATTAGGCTGAGAAGAAATTCACGTGAGTGATAATTATGGATAAGCACGAAAATAAACAGGAAAACACCATGCAAAGTCAGCTAAAACAACAATCTCATACCTTGTCACGACGGTTTGTTATCTCAATGCTTGCATTGGCAAGCAGTTTACCGCTGATGAGCTATGCCGCTCCAGCAGCGCCAAAACTGGATCTTGAGTTATCTGCACATTCAAAGAATAAAATTAAAACCTTAATGAATGATCCAAAAGTTTGGCAACAGATTCCCAAAACAGTCACGCTGTGTGTGTATTCTCCTGATGGCGCCAATAGTGAAGCGTTTGAACAAGCGACCAGTTATATCAGTGAACTGCCACGAATTACACAGATTGCTAAGGAATTTGGGGTGGATATGAAAATTACCCGTCCAACCAAATTGTCGATGCATATTGATTTAAATTATCCAAAATTAAAGAAAACCGCTTCTACGGATATTAATTTAAGAGTTTATACCGATGAACGTGTATTGACTGAGGATTTCCGCAGTAAACGCTGTGATGGTGCTGGAATCAGTAACATTCGTGCACGTCAGTTTAATCCGTTTGTCGGCAGTATTGATGCTATTGGGGCAGTACAAAACTATAAGCAATTAACCACCGTGATCCAGTTACTTGCACGGCCTGAGTACGATGCAAAAATGGTCAATCGTGATTATGAAGTGGTGGGGATTGTTCCTTTAGGTGCTGCGTATATCATGGTCAATGATCGCCGTATTGATACCTTATCAAAAGCAGCAGGGAAAAAAGTGGCGGTCATGAACTTTGACGGTACTCAAAAGAAGTTGGTGCAAAATGTTGGTGCACAACCTGTTTCAGTTGATCTATTAACTGTGGGTGGAAAGTTTAATAACAAAGAAGTCGATATTATGGCGGGGCCTGCTTTGTTATTTAAGCCTTTAGAATTGAAAAAGGGTATGACTGATAAAAATGGTAATGTGGTCGGTGGTATTATTCGCTTTCCTTTGATACAGGTCACAGGCACATTAATCATGCATCGGAATAAGTTCCCTGCAGGTATGGGACCAATCGCACGGGAAATGATTTCTAAACAACTCAGCCCAGCATTTCAGTTTGTCGATAAACTAGAGCGAGAAGTTCCAGATAAATATTGGTTTGATATTCGTGAAGCGGATAAACCGGGCTATATTAAGATTATGCGCGAAGCACGTATTCAGATGACCAAAGAAGGCTTCTATGACCCAACAATGATGAAAATTTTGAAAAAGGTTCGATGTGGTCAAACCCCAAGTAGTTTTGAATGTGCTTTAAATGATGAATGATTGGGTTTTGCTCTTGTCTTGATGAGGTATATAAGTCAAAAGCAAAATCACAAACAGCTGATGTTTTTGATTTGAATTAAAAGCTAAAGGAGCAAAATGAAAGTTTATTTTGCTCCTTTTTTATTGCAAAGTTTAGGCAATGCTTTACTACTCTGTTAGATTAAATCCAAGATAAAGAAGATCAAAATTAAGATTTAAATGATGTTAAGAAAACCGTTCAAACTCTTGTTGCTGGCAGTGTTGTTTTACGTTAACTCGATATATGCCGCACAGTATCAGACAGGGGATATTATTTTTCATACTTCTAAATCTGTACAAAGTCTTGTGATTCAAAAAGCCACCCATTCGCCATATAGCCACATGGGAATGATCGTGATGAAACAAGGTCAAGCTTTGGTTTTGGAGGCGATTCAGCCTGTGAAATATACACCGCTTCAACAATGGATCAATCGCGGTGTAAATAAAGCCTATGTCGTAAAGCGTTATCAACCTCAATTAACTGCAGAGCAACAGCACAAGTTAGTCAAACAGGCCGAGACTTATTTAAATAAACCCTATGATGTTTATTTTGAATGGAATGATGACGCAATTTATTGCTCTGAAATTGTATGGAAAGCTTATCAATACGCTTTAGGAATAGAATTGGCGCCCTTGGAAAAATTACAAAGTTTTGATCTCACAGATCGAAGTGTTAAAGCACTTATGCGACAACGCTATGGACAGCATATTCCATTGCAAGAAACTGTGATTGCGCCAAGTGCAATTTTTAATTCAAAGAAACTGAAAATGGTTGACTCGGTTGCTGGCTTGAATTGATTGGAAATATAGCAGGCATAAAAAAACCTGAGTCATTATGCTCAGGCTTTTTATAAGAAGCGGTATATACATACATTCTTGAATGTGGCGACCCTACGGGGATTCGAACCCCGGTTACCGCCGTGAAAGGGCGATGTCCTAGGCCTCTAGACGATAGGGTCAATAAATTGAGGCAGACACTTGAAACTAAACCATTAAATTAATGGCGACCCTACGGGGATTCGAACCCCGGTTACCGCCGTGAAAGGGCGATGTCCTAGGCCTCTAGACGATAGGGTCGTTTCAGAGGTGGGCGTATATTAGGGTGAATACTGGCAGGTGTCAAACTTTTTTCCACAATAAAAACTGAAATTGCGTTTATATGGATAAAAACAAAGCAATATGAGCAAAGTGGTTAAAATTAAGACCATTATTACGGCTTGGGGTACACAATGGGATCTAAAATATTTTTAATCACCGCAGGATGTTGTAAGTAGCCTGCGATTTGATGAGGAGTATGAATAAACGTTGAAATCGCGGTATTTAAAATCGCGGGTTGAAAGTCAAAGGGCGCGTTGATCAAAGGAAAAGCAGTTAAAAAATCATCTGGTGAATAGAAATTATGCCAATCACCATTTAGACAATTTGGTCTTTTGACTGGTGGTGCCAGTTTAGACTGAATCACTTTAAAGGCGAGTGGTGAGCCTAAGGTAATAAAGCGTTGTATCTGGTAGTTTGTTTGCAGCTGTTGTAAAAGATTATAGGCAATCACGGTTCCTAATGAATGCGCAACGATAATATGCGGTTGATCGGGTTCTAAGCTAGCGAGTATCCGTTGATGGACTTCATCCATAAACTGAGGATTGGCGAGGTATAAATAAGTTTCGATCAGGAATTTATGAATCAGACTTTCATGAAGTTTTGGAAAATTATTTAAAATTAAAGAGAACTCTTTGAGCGCTTTATCTTTTAACAATTGCGAAGCCAAATACAAGCGGTTGGACAGTTTTAAGTCATGTTCAGGCATGAAGTAGGGCAGTATTGGAATTGCGGGAGGGATATTTGAAGTTGTCGTGGGTGACGTTGTTGTATGTTTATGAAAGTGAAAGTTTACCCATGATTTAGGCAGAAAGCTTTCTAAGTCAAAGCGATTGCTTAATTGGTGTTTACTGATTAAATCGCCATAAAAAGCCAAGCGAATATCTAATTGTGCTGTTGAAATAGGCAGTTTAAGTTCATCGATTCCCTGTTGAAGAATATCAATCCAATGTTGCTTTAAACTCTCAGCATTATAATTCTGCTGGTTCATACCATGAATAAAAATAATCTTCATTGGGGTTTTTTATAGATTGTTATGTTTAACTATTAAATTACGAGCTTAAACTGATTTTGACTATCTATGAATGTACAAAAAGTGTAGCCAATGGCTACACTTTTTGCTTAGGCATGATCAGTAAGATTTTGTTTAGGATTGTGATTGATCTTTATATAAGAATGCGTAGCTGATATAGCAAATCGCAATAAAGATTAAACAACAAATAAAGCCAACTACCATCTCAGGGTCAAATACCATACTGATACAGGTAATTAAACAGAAGATAAAACCTAAGATCGGCACAATTGGAAACAATGGTGCAGCAAAGCCTAATTCAGCTTTGGTATGACCTTGTTTGTACCATTGACGTCTAAAATTAAATTGGCTCAGACAAATACTCATCCACACCACAACCATGGTAAACGCAGCCACACCCAACAAGTTTTTAAAAATAGTCTCAGGTGCAAATTGTTCTGAAAGCAGACCAGGTAACGCACCGAACATGGTGACAATCACAGCAATATATGGAATACCGCGTGCATTGACTCTAGAAAACATTGCTGGAAGCTGTTTCTTGGCTGAGAGCGACCACATCATACGTGATGCCGCAAATAGCCCTGAGTTGGCCGCAGACAACAACGCAGTGATGATCACAAAACGGATAATGTCTTCTGCGTATGGAATACCAATATGATCAAATACGGTAACAAATGGGCTGCTACTGACCCCTTCAGCATGTAATCCTGCCATTTGGTGAGGCAGCAATGCACTAATTACGATGATAGTACCAACAAAGAAAATCAATAAACGCCAAATAGCAGTATTGATGGCTTTAGGCACATTTTTCGCGGGATCTTCAGTTTCACCCGCAGCAACGCCAATCAACTCAGTGCCAGAGAAGGCAAAGTTCACGATTAACATGGTGGTGAAGATTGGGAATAGACCTTGTGGGAACCAGCCTTCATCGGTCAAATTACTAAATAACGGTGCTGAAGTATGTCCCTGATAATTTAAAATACCAAAAATTGCCAAAAGGCCAAAAAGAATAAAAGCGATTACCGTGATGACTTTGACCAAAGAGAGCCAGAACTCAGATTCGGCAAACCATTTGGTTGAACTCATATTTAAGCCAAACACGATTGCTGCAAAAATCAGCGTCCATAACCACATCGAGATATGCGGAAACCATTCTTGCATTAACAAAGCCGCAGCAGTAAATTCAGTGCCTAGTGTTGCTGACCATGTTAGCCAATACAGCCAAGTAACGGTGTATCCGGTACCTGGACCAATGTATCGTTGCGCATAAGTACCAAACGAACCAGACTCAGGCATATGAACAGCAAGTTCACCTAAGCACAGCATCACCATATAGGCAATTACACCGCCGAGGATGTAAGAGATAATGGCACCAATCGGACCGGTTTGTGAGATCACCTCACCAGAACCTAAAAAAAGCCCTGTACCGATTGCACCACCAAGCGAAATCATCACCAAGTGACGAGTACTCATTGCTCGTTTGAGTGGTGAAGAATTAGATGATACCTGAGCATCATTTTGATTTGGTGATGACTGCATAAGCTTCAGATGGAAATAAAACAAGAAGCGCGCTATTTTAGCCCAATTCATAAATAGTGCAATGATTGAGTGTTGCTAATGCTCAATAAGCAATACTATAAATCACCGCGATTTTATGGTTTTTATAAATAAATATTTAAATCAATTATTTATATTTAACTCTGCACTGATTATTTTAAATTAAAAATCCAGATTATTGATGAAAAAACAACCTTTTAAATATGAAGGGATGGTGGTTTTTAACTGCTTTAAAATACGATAGATATAAAAAAGCCTGAGTCGTATTGCTCAGGCTTTTTTACGAGAAAGTTTTATTTTAACAACCTTCTCAAATATGGCGACCCTACGGGGATTCGAACCCCGGTTACCGCCGTGAAAGGGCGATGTCCTAGGCCTCTAGACGATAGGGTCGTAATGAGGTGATGCGTATATTAAGGATAAAAGACATTTTTGTCAAAATGGATTTATCGAAAAAGCGTTTAACTGATGAATCTATAAGCGAATCATCATGTATTTGTTTTTAATTTAGCCAGAAAGCTATTTTTTGTTTTTAGAAGAATCCAAATCAAATGAAAACAGCTTGATTTATATATGAATCACTTAAAAATTATGCTGCGGATTAAAAGCCTAAAATAGAAAAGCCCGTATGAATACGGGCTGATCAGTGATTTACAATGCGACTTAATTTTTCTGATGATAAAGCCAGTAATAAGTTGCATAACATGCTGCCATAAACACTAAACAACCAATAAAGCCAGAAAGCATTTCTGGATCTGCTGCCATACTTAAACCGGTTGCGGTACAAGTGATAAAGCCAAGAATTGGTACAACGGGATACCACGGCGTTTTAAATTTTAAATCAGCCAGTGTTTTACCGCTGGCTAGCCATTTACGACGGAAATTAAACTGACTCCAGCAAATACTCATCCACACGATAACCATGGTAAATGCTGCCACGCCGAGTAAGTTTTTAAAGATCACATCTGCGCCAAATTGCTCCGACAGTAAACCGGGTAAACCCCCAATCATGGTCACAAAAATTGCAACAACAGGGGTACCTGATTTGGTCAGTTTGGAAAAAACTCGAGGTAATTGTTTTTGAATTGAAAGCGCCCACATCATACGAGATGCCGCATATAGTCCTGAATTAGCAGTGGACAAAAGCGCTGTAATGATCACAAAACGCATGATGTCTTCTGCGTAAGGAATTCCAATCAAGTTAAATACAGAAACAAAGGGACTATTACTGATCCCTTCACCATGCGCGGCTAGGCCAGCATCTTGATAGGGTAATAATGAACTGATGACAATAATGGTACCAACAAAGAAAATCATTAACCGCCAAACCGCAGCATGAATTGCTTTCGGGACATTTTTTTCAGGATTTTCAGTTTCACCAGCAGCAATCCCAATCATCTCAGTACCATTAAAGGCAAAATTTACAATCAGCATGGTGGCAAAAATAGGAAATAAACCATTGGGTAACCAGCCATGTGCGGTTAAATTACTGAATAAAGGTGCAGTTTCATGCCCATGGAAGGGAATTAATCCAAATATTGCGGTTAGGCCGAGTAAGATAAATACTAGTACCGTTGCAACTTTAACAAAAGACAACCAAAACTCGGACTCTGCAAAAAAGCGTGTTGAGGTTAGATTGGAAATCAAGACGGCAACAATAAAGACTAGGGTCCATAACCAGATGGAGGTTGTTGGAAACCATTCCTGCATCAGCATGGCTGCTGCGGTAAATTCAGTCCCCAAGGTGGCAGACCAGCCAAGCCAGTACATCCATGACACCATGTAGCCTGTACCCGGTCCAATATTTTTAGCTGCAAAAGCACCAAAAGATCCGGTCACAGGCTGATTGACGGCAAGTTCGCCTAAGCACAGCATTACCATATAGGCAATTAAACCACCGATAATATAGGCAATCACAGCGCCAATCGGCCCAGCTTGTGCAATCACTTCACCTGAACTTAAAAATAAGCCTGTACCAATCGCACCGCCTAATGACAACATGATCAGGTGGCGTTTGGTCATGGATCTTTTTAAGACAATAGTTTGCCCATCAGCGACAGTGTGCTGATTCGATTGATCAGGTGATTGCATATTTGATGTCATTGAACTTTAAAGAGATATTTTAGATTAAAATGCCAAAATTGACAAAATAAAATAAACCATCAGCTTCTAAAGTCTAAAGAAAAGGGATGAAATAAAATAATTGAATCAAGAAGATCAAAAAAAGAGAAAGGAATTATAAGAATAATTAGATGGCGACCCTACGGGGATTCGAACCCCGGTTACCGCCGTGAAAGGGCGATGTCCTAGGCCTCTAGACGATAGGGTCGTTTAGAAGATGGCGATATCTTATTGATCCGCCACCAAATTGTCAAGTAAGTGAGGTGCGAGTTTGTTCAAAATATAGCAAAACAGTTCAGCCGTCTTTTGAGTATCGTACAAGGCCGAGTGAGCCTCTTTACCATCGAACTCAATTCCAGCTTGAATACATGATTTAGCCAAAACAGTTTGACCAAACATGACCGCACTTAAAGTCACAGTATCAAATACAGAAAAACTATGAAAAGGGTTTTGATTTTTACTGCCAGTTCGCGCAATTGCAGCTCTTAGAAAGCCTAAATCAAAATGGGCATTGTGTCCGACCAAGACCGCATGGGTACAATGTTGTTGACGACGTACTTCATTAACCGCCTTAAAAATACGCTTTAATGCGGTTTTCTCGTCTTCAGCCATTGCCATACGCATTGGATTAAATGGATCTACACCAATAAAGTCCAAAGAGCGACGATCTAAATTTGCACCTTCAAAAGGATTGATGTGCGCATGATGTGCTTCACCTGGAACAAATTTTCCTTCAGCATCATACACAATCGGGATGCATGCGATTTCAAGCAATGCATCGGTATCTGCATTAAAACCTGCTGTTTCAACGTCAACCACAACGGGTAAAAAACCACGAAAGCGTTGTCCAATCACAGGTAATGTTTCAGTTGTCACACCTTTCTCCATTGGATGGTTTTTCCAGCATAAAGTGGAATAATGTGTTCACCATCCAAATAATCTAAACTTTCAGGGATTACCTGATCTTCTTTGACAAGGGTAATCTTATTTGTGTTGCGAGGCAAACCATAGAAGTCTGCACCAAACATACTGGCAAAACCTTCTAGGCGTTCGATTTTGTTGACTTGATCAAAAGCCTGAGCATAAAGCTCAATTGCTGTAGGTGCACTATAGCAACCTGCACAACCACATGCATTTTCTTTGGCATTTTTAGAATGTGGCGCACTATCAGTACCTAAGAAAAACTTAGGACTTCCGCTAGTGGCAACTTCAAGTAAAGTTTGTTGATGAGTTTGACGCTTTAAAATCGGTAAACAATAAAAGTGCGGTTTTATACCACCGACCAACATATCATTACGGTTAAACATTAAATGTTGTGGTGTGATCGTCGCAGCAACATTACGATCTTGTTCAAGCACAAAATGCGCGGCTTCACTGGTGGTAATATGTTCTAACACCAATTTTAATTGCGGAAATTGTTTCAGTAACGGTGAAAGTACTTCGTCTAAAAAGCGTTTTTCACGGTCAAAAATATCCACATGCTGATGGGTAACTTCACCATGTAATAGTAATGGCACTTGATGTTCTTCAAGCTGTTCAATCACTGCATAGACTTTACGAATGTCACTGACACCATTATCCGAGTTGGTTGTTGCACCAGCAGGATAGAGTTTAATTGCATTGACGAATTGAGACTCTTTGATTTTGCGAACTTCATCTGGAGAAGTATGGTCGGTAAAATACAGTACCATACGTGGGTCAAAATCAACCCCTTCAGGGACATGTGCCATAATACGGTCACGATAAGCATTCGCTTCATCTACAGTTTTCACAGGTGGAACGAGGTTCGGCATACAAATCGCACGGGCAAATTGTTTGGCTAGATCTGGAACTGTACGTTTTAAGGCAAGACCATCACGCAGGTGGGCATGCCAGTCATCTGGCTGAAGCAAAGTGATCGTATTCAAGGCAATTCTTACTGACAAAATAAATGAGATGATAATCTATAACACTTTAAAATGATAACAGCTATTTCTAATCAATAATTCAAATTAAATGATTAAAAACAAATCTAAAGCTTATATTTTGTTCGGATTGGTCATGTATGTGTCATGATTGGGTGCTAATGCTGAGTAGAAAATCTACAACTGTATAACATGGTAATGATTTTCAATTGCTTATTTTGAATTTATTTTAAAATTACCGTTTTTAAATGATTAAATAGTCAAAATGTACTATTGCATATTTTTCTTAAAAAATGATAATAAAGTCATACAAAGATAAACTTCGAACATACATAACTTTCATTTTATGAATAAACACGCTATTGACCTTATACAATTGTGTTTAAAGCCTTGAGAATATAAATAATCGGCTCAAGGTGTGTGTGACGTCGCTTTTATTGTTCGAGATCAGTATACTATGTATCTGTAATACAATAGTTTATTAGATAAGTACATCAATTATAATATTGAGTTAATAGAGAGCTTTATATGGGCAAGTTTCTGCCAAACCTGATTTGCATCATGTGTCTTGTGGGTTTAAATATTCAAAGTCAAATTTTTGCCAAACAAAATGTTAAAGCTGATAAAAGTCAAGAAGCGATAAAAGCGGACTTAAAACAAGATTGGTCAGTCAATAGTATCAATACAGCCAATTGGTCAGAAAATATTGGCAGAGGACAATTCCCCGTTTATGCCCGTGCACAAGTGATGCTCAATAATTTACATGCTTCGCCTGGGCCAATCGACGGTAAAAGTGGCAAGAACTTTTTAAAAGCACTTGCCGCGTATCAACAGATTAAAAGTTTACCAATTAGTGGTGAACTGGATAAACAGACTTGGGACAGTTTGTTAAAAAATCAAAAAACTGCAGCGTTTGGAACTTATCAAATTACTGCCGCGGATATTAAAGGACCTTATGCCAAAGCAATTCCGCGAAATTATGCCCAACAAGCAAAAATGCCGGGTTTGTATTACACCCGTGTGAGTGAAATGTTAGGTGAAAAGTTTCATATTGATGAAGACTTTCTTAAACAACTCAATCCAAAAGCTAACTTTAAAAAAGTAGGCGAAACTATCAATGTACCGATCGTACGTAATGATTTGCCTGAAGGTGTGGCCTTAATTATTGCGCATAAGCCTGCTCGACAACTTTATTTATATAATAGTACAAATCAAATGATTGCATCTTTTCCTGCCACAATTGGGGGTTCTGGTACACCATCCCCGAAAGGGACGCATAAGGTCATTAAAGTTGCACCAAACCCTGTCTATGGTTATAACCCGAAAAACTTTGTTCAAGGGAGCAACCGTCAAAAGCTGGCATTACCGCCTGGCCCAAATGGTCCTGTTGGTAATATGTGGATTGCTTTAAGTAAACCGACATTTGGTATTCATGGTACACCGAATCCTTCATTAATTTCAAAGACCGCTTCTCATGGTTGTATTCGTTTGACCAATTGGGATGCCAATGATTTAGGTCGCAAGGTTCAACCGGGGACCGTGGTTAAGTTCTTAGATTAATCCCGTTGTATATCCGAAAAGGCTGAGTACTTTAAAAGAGGGCTCAGCTTTTTTTATTGCGTAGATAAAATTTTGCTACTGTAAATATTAAACTTATACACAACATACTGAATTTATTGGGTATGATCAATTTAACTTAACCATGTCAAAAAAATTGAAATCTTTATGGGTACAGAAAAAAAATTATCTACTCAAGAAGTCATTAAACTTGAACGAGATTTGGCTAAATTTGCCAATATGATGGATTCGGTGGTACGTATTCCATTTACCAAGCAAGGGGTTGGGGCTGATGCTGCACTCAGTACCATACCGATTGCTGGTGATGTCGCGGGTTTTGTGCTGACTTGCTATGCAGTTTATAAAGCCAAACAGATTGGCGTGCCTCAAGCTAAACTCAATGGGGTATTAAAACTGGCTGTGATTGACGGCGTTGTGGGGTGTATACCGATCGCTGGAACTTTATTTGATATTTTTATTCGGCCCAGTCGTAGAGCTTTAGACGTTGTACATGACCATATTCAAGAAGAATATCAGATTTATAGCGATGATCATGTGGTTCACCCATTTTTACATGAGAAGCTAGAACAAAAGCAACAGCATTCCGCATTTTGGCGTAATCCTGTCATTGCTTGGATTTGGATTCATATTCCCGATATTTTAGGCTTGATTGTTTTAATCCTGATTGGACTTGCGATGTGGTTTGGCGTAAATATGTTGTGGGATTGGTATCAAAGCTATCGTGCTTAAATTCCAACATTGAATTGATTTGAAAATGTAGATATTAAAATACAGAGGTGATCATGCAAGATTATATTTCGGCAAACCTTCCTGCTATTGATTTTGATCATACTCGTAAATTTTATGCATTCTTAGGTTTTCAGTGTGATTATCAGTCCACAGAATGGATGATCTTAAGTAAAGACAGTTTGCTGGTTGAGTTTTTCCATCACCCCAATTTAAATCCAAAAGAATCATGGTTTAGTGCTTGCTTAAGAACACATGTCTTGAAAGATCTGTTTCATTTTTGGCAAGGTTTAGATTGGGCACAATTCCCAGAAGCACGAATAACTGAAATTCAGTATCTCGAAGAAATTGATATGTTTTGTGTGATTGATCCAAATGGGAGTTTAATTCGTTGTATCCAGTTAGATTAATCCCTCAAATTGGTATTGGTATTGGTATTGGTATTGGTATTGGTATTGAAAGAAAGTAAGAAAGTAAGATAGATAGAAATTGCGCGGTAAATATTGGATAAAGCAAAAACTAAAATATGATGTACCCATAAACAAAGCCTCCATATTGGAGGCTTTGTTTTTCTATGAGATCACTACGATTGAGCGAGCGTGTATAGATTAAGGTAAATTGAGTTGGCGTAAAGCGGCAACACGTTGCTCGATGCTTGGGTGAGTTTGGAATAAAGCAGCCAAACTAAAACCTTGCTCTTTACCTTCTGCGATCGCAAAAGCTTTCATTTCTTTCGGCATTTGATCTGGCATTTCAGATTCAGCCTGTAGACGCAATAAAGCGGAAATCATGGCTTCTTTACCTGCAAGTTGAGCTCCAGCTTCATCTGCACGGTATTCACGATAGCGAGAGAACCACATTACGATTGCCGAAGCCAATATACCGAAGACGATATCAAGCACGATGGTAATTGCAAAATAAGCAAGTCCAGGCGCTTCACCATCTTGACGGCCAAAGATATTACGGTCAATAAAATCACCAACCACACGGGCAAAGAACATTACAAAGGCGTTCACTACACCTTGAATAAGGGATAATGTGACCATGTCACCATTGGCAACGTGACCAATCTCATGCGCAAGCACGGCACGCAATTCATCTTTGTTCATGCGTTCAAGCAAACCTGTTGAAACCGATACAAGTGCATCGTTTTTATTCCAACCTGTGGCAAACGCATTCGACTGATAAGATGGGAAAATACCAACATCTGGCATTTGAATACCAGCACGTTGTGAAAGTTGAGCAACCTCTTGTAATAACCAAACTTCGGCTTGGTTACGAGGAGCATTCGGGTCAATTAATTCAGTACCTGTGGTTTTTAGCGCCATCCATTTGGACATAAATAGGGAGATTAAAGAACCTACCATACCAAACACTAAACAGATGACCATCAGGTTGCCTAATTTAAGACCGCCAGCGCCGTAGTAACTACCAACACCTAATAATGATAGGATAATGCCAGCTACAACCAGTACCGCGAGGTTGGTTAGCAAAAACAAACCAATCCGCATCATGGAGAGAATCCTCTTATAAATAATAAATAATATGATGTATTAAAATAAATCATGAAATTCAATATGAGGTTTAGATGATTAAAATTCAAGAATAAGAGGGAAAAATCTAGCTGGCAAAAATGATAAATTCAATTGAAAGGGATAGTGGATAAAGAATTTATTTAAAAAAATAGGCAAGTTAAAAAAAGATTCTCTGTATTAGAGAAAACATTATTTTTTTCAGCAATTTGTTGAAAATATGTAATTGCACAAATTACGTGCTTTATTTTCTATTTCAATAGGGCTCTTTATTGGATTCTAAGTTCTGATAATCATTAGTTGCCAATGGTGATTTGTGCTGTCGCACTGGCATGTGCTGTTGAATAAGAACCCGCAGGTGCATCTGTGTAAGTCCCATCAGAAGCAATAATAATTGGTCGAGAACTATATTTTACTGGTTGAATATTTGAACTGTTGCTGATTTGTGGTGTCGGCTCGACTTGATTGGAGAAATCATTTTGATTTGATTGGGCAATGATCTGTCCAGTACTGGTTGAAGTACCAATATTATTTGCGGATAAATTTAAACCACCAGCATAGAGGTTGTTTAAACGACTGGTGACACGTTTGACATAGTCTTGGGTTTCACGGAAGGGGGGAATACCGCCGTATTTATCTACATTCCCTTCACCAGCATTATAAGCCGCTAAAGCTAAATTGGTATTGCCATTAAAGCGTTTCATTAACCAACTGAGATATTTGGCACCACCAAAAATATTCTGCTGTGGATCATAAGAGTTGGACACATTGAAGCGACGAGCCGTTGCAGGCATCAGTTGCATTAAACCTTGCGCACCAACAGGAGAACGGGCATTGGTATTAAAGCCAGACTCGGTATGCATCACTGCTTTGATTAAGCCTTCAGACACACCATGCGTCTGCGCAGCTTGACGGATAATACTATCAAAGGAATTTTTACTTTTACTATAACTCGGCAGTACTGCAGATTCTGAGCTGCCCCAATTGCTATAACTATGAATATTACTGTCTTTATAATAAGTCACTTTGACTTTTTGCAGTGAACGATCCGAATTTTTGCGATTGGTCAGTAAGGTTGTCCCATTTTGGTCTTTGTAGAAATAAATTTGACCTGCAAACGTTTGCGATGTAAATGAGGCAAAGCTCATACACCCTAAAATAGACACTAGCGAACCCGTAATTAATTTTTTCATTTTGTAGTAATTAAAATATTTCCCCAATTTTTGGGAGTTTAACAAAGTTATTGAACAAGAAAAACTATGAATTGAGTTTTAACAATACAATCGCGAAAAAGCAAGTGCTATTTGTTGGCATATTAATCAAAAAAAATTTTATATTTTTTTTAAAATATATTTATTGACTATGTTAAACAATTGAAAAATATATATAAAATATAATGGTTAAAAAATGATCAATCTAAAGAGAATGCCCATCATTGCGTGAGAAAACTTTGTCAAGCCCCAAACAATCCACAATTTTATCCACAGGTTTTGTGGAAAACTGTGGAAAAGTCCAAAAGATAAGCACTTCGGCTAAAAAATGAACTGAGCCGTCTATTTTAAATGTGGAAATACGACAGGAAGATGACCAGATAAAAATTGATGCAAAATAAAAAAATCTTTAGATGCGGTTAACGTTCAAATCAGATAAAATTGCCCAGTATTTTTTTATGGGTTTATCTCGTCTATGTACTCGCCAGTTGAGTCCGAACAAGGATTTAATTTTAAACCAGAGCTTCCAACAAGTTCAGCTTATTATCGTCTTTTGAAAAAACTTCGTCGTCAAGTCGGCCATGCAATTCGTGACTTTAAAATGATTGAGGAAGGCGATAAGGTAATGGTCTGTGTTTCTGGTGGGAAAGACAGTTACACCTTGCTTGATATTTTGTTGCAATTTAAACGTATTGCACCGATCAACTTTGATGTTGTCGCAGTGAACTTGGATCAAAAGCAACCTGGTTTTCCTGAAGATGTGTTACCGAAATATTTGGAAGAAAACAATATTCCTTATTATATTTTGGAAAAAGATACTTATAGCATCACCAAGCGTTTGACACCTGAAGGGAAAACTTACTGTGCAGTGTGTTCACGTTTACGCCGTGGTTCACTCTACGGTTTTGCGCAAGAGATTGGTGCGACCAAAGTGGCATTGGGCCATCATCGCGATGATATCATTGCAACGTTCTTCTTGAATTTATTCCATGGTGGTAGCTTAAAAGCGATGCCGCCAAAATTATTGTCTTCGGATAAAAAGAACATTTTGATCCGTCCTTTGGCTTATGTCGAAGAAAAAGACATCATCAAATATGCTGAAATTCGTAAATTCCCGATTATTCCATGTAACTTATGTGGTTCTCAGGAAAACTTACAACGTGCCATGTTAAATGACATGCTACGTGGTTGGGATAAACAATATCCAAAACGTTTGCATAGCATTTTTGGTGCATTGCAGAATGTTTCACCATCTCAATTGGCTGACCGTGATTTATTTGATTTTGAAAAATTGGATGAAGAACGTGAATTCGATATGAAATGTGATACGGAAGAAATGAAAAAACGTTTAGATGTTGTAAATCTTAGTTTTGCAGCAGATTGATCTTTTTTGCCAATTAAATGAACGAATCGGGCATTCATATTGAGATGAGTGCCTGATTTAAAAAAATAAAACGATAAAACCGATAAAACATGAACAGTCCGTACAAAAAACTTTAGCCCAAATTGAAATTATCATGCTATAACATTGGGCAAGCAAAACTGCTTCAACCTGATGTTGTCTGGATAGATAACACAATAAATTGAATAAATAATTTGAGGAATGAACATGCCTGCATTTTTAACTGATGATTGGTTTGCAAATGTTGAAAAATTAACTGCTGAAGCAGGTGATTTAAACTTACCACCAGCACTTTCAGGTTTAGCAATTAATTTGGTTGTTGCAGATGCAGATGGCAACACAGAGCTTGCTTTAGACGGCGGAAAAATCGTCAAAGGTAGTTCTGCAAATGCGAAAACAACATTGAACATGGATGCTGAAACACTTCGTAAAGTATTCTTAGAATTTGATATGGCTGCTGCTATGCAAGCATTTATGACAGGCAAAATCAAAGTTCAAGGTGATATGTCTCAATTGATGGCTTTACAAACAGCCAAGCCAAGCCAAGAGCAAAAAGATTTATTTAAGAAAGTATTAGAGCAAACTGCTTAATCTTTTTACAATAAAAAAGCTTACCCGAGAGTAAGCTTTTTTATTGCCTGATTTTTACAAATCCAATCGATTTAAAATACAGATTAAATTTCTAGTAATCGAGGTGTGGTCTTAATGTGTTCTAAATAAGCCCGAATACGTGTGACATACTGTACCGCTTGTTTATAACGACCATTACTTGCTTGATTACGTGTCAAATAATTATAAAGATTCATCCAGTCATTGGGATCTTTACCTTGTGCTTTGATGCGCTTTTGAATACCTTCAACTGCACCAGGCCCCATATTGTATGCAACCAAAGCATACCAATGACGATCTGGATTACGAATATAAGAATAACGACTCAACATCATATCAAAATATTTTGCGCCGCCTTGGATACTCTGAGCGGGGTCACTTCGATTACTGACACCCATTTCTTTGGCTGTGGTATTGGTCAACATCATCAAACCACGGACACCTGTGGGAGAAACAGAGTCTGGTTTTAAATATGATTCTTGATAACCAATTGCAGCAAGTAGGTGCCAATCTAAGCCATATTGCTGTGCAGAGCGCTTAAAGCTGGCTTTATAAATCGGTAGACGAGAACTTAAGTCACGTTGAATCACGTTCCAATCGTCTTTCTTGACGACATTACGATTATAAAATGAGGCAAGTTGCTGCGTTGAACCATTTTGTTTGCTTTGGCAAATGAAACCACTTGCAGTTGCTGTTAATGGATCTTCAGCTTGTTTAAATACCCAATTTAATTCTGGGTTTAAACCATTACTTTTTAAACTGTTGAAATCGCCACAGCTTGCTGAAAATGAGGTTAAGCGTTCTGCTTCGATGCTTTGCATATTTGCGGTGGTAATCGCAAAATTCGCTTTACCTTGAGCAACCATTTTCAATGCTGTTGCATTGTCAGAAACAGTTTTAAGCTCAAGTTTAACGTTTAAACTTTCAGCATAGTTATGGGCTAAGTCATAGCCGAAGCCATGCTTGTAGTCTCCATCCTTAAACACGATGCTTGGATTGGAAACCGCAACTACAGTCAATTTACTCGAATTAACTACAGCATTGTATTGATTGTTCTTACTCGCATTAATACTAAAAGGAATTAATGCAGTGGATAAAACTAAAGTTTTGATTGGCAGCGCACGAAAAAATGAGTTAAGGCTAAGCCTCGACCCAGAGGTTGAACTACTGTGCATGTTGTCTCCGCTACAAGTAATTTATTGCCCTAAAAAGTAATAAGCACAAAAACGCTTAAAAACTTCTTATAGTTGGTAAATTCAATAAGGGTGGGCAGTCATGAACGTCATTCAAAAAATGACATGTGGGATAGAAAGATTTTGCAGAAAAACTACAAAATTAAAAAAATAAACTCATAAAACATGTGCGCATAATATAGGCGGTTTTTAGATCTGTCAAACTTTGTATGAAAAATGATCAATTTAAAATATTTAAGATAATGATTTTTAACAGAATATTTTTTTAAAAAATGCAGAAATTTTAAAACTGAAATACGCTGCCAAAAACTGTAAGCAAATGTTCCAAATGTAAGTTAAGAATTACCACTTTTAAAAGGTTTTCTGATTGAATTTTCTGTCTGAATTTAAATAGGAAAAAAACGATTTTATTGCTTTTTAAAACTTAAAATGCGCTATTTTTGAGCTGACATTTTTACGCTATTGGCTGTAGACTGTAGTAACATTTTTTAAAAAATAAGTATCAAGTGCATATGTATTTTAAATGGTTTTAAATCATGAAATCTAATTTAATTACCCGTTCAGGGCATGATCTGTTGGTTGCAGAGTTACAACATCTCTGGCGCGAAGAACGACCTGAAATTACCAAAAAAGTGACATGGGCTGCCAGTCTGGGTGACCGTTCTGAAAATGCTGATTACCAGTATAATAAGCAGCTACTTCGAAAAATCGATCGTCGTGTACGTTATTTGGGGAAGCGTTTAGAAGAATTAAGAATTATCGATTTTTCTCCAGAACAAGCAGGCAAGGTGTATTTTGGTGCTTGGGTTGAAATAGAAAATGATGAAGGTGAACAAAAAACCATACGTCTGGTCGGGGTAGATGAAATTTATGATCATCATCCGCAACATGTCTCAATTGATTCACCGATGGCAAGAGCTTTACTGTCTAAACAAGTCGATGATGAGGCAGAAGTGGATACACCATCAGGGAAAAAACGTTGGTATATCAATTCAATTCGTTATGAATAGCTTGAATATTCATCAAATTAGCGAGATTTGACTTTATTTTGTACATTTGATTGAAGAAATACTGAAAAAGATTTGCCAAGTTGCAATTTTATTTATATGATAGCCGCCATTGGAAGCGTGGCAGAGCGGTTTAATGCACCGGTCTTGAAAACCGACGAGGGTGTGAGTCCTCCGTGAGTTCGAATCTCACCGCTTCCGCCAAATATTGATTTAAGCCCTTGTTATTGCAAGGGCTTTTTTCTTGCTTGTTATTTTATCCCACATTGTAACCCACATAAAATTTTGGATTAGATAACATCAAATTGGTGGATTTAGGACGTTGTAGGAAGAGTCATTCATTTAGTTTAAATTCACGATAAGTTCATATCACTATTTCCAACACGTAAAAAAGCCCAATAAGGAACTACTGGGCTGTGACTGAATGAGTCAAATACGATTAATAAACAATATACTCAAAATTTGATTTGATGACTTTGGATTGGTAGTAGTAATACTTCAAAGGATAGAGCATATTGTTAAAAATAACTTTCCACTCTGCTAAATTAATGCCTTGGAAATTATCACGCTCAAGCTTCAGAGTTTGAATAGAAATATTTGGCAAATTCAGTTGAACCGAAATTTGACCTTCTTTATCAATCGAATGTGATAATAGATTTTGATCCTGAGGCAGTTGTAACTGATGATTTTGTTCGTGATAAACCAAATATGGCTACAGTGATTTTTGATTCAATTCAAACTTTATCTACAGGAGTTTTTTTATGGCTTATGAAGCATTAAATTGTTCAATTTTATTTTAAGCAATAGCTTTAACTTGAAGAAATAATTGGAAATTAAAGTAAATAAAAGCTTATTCAAACTTATAATGAATAAGCTTTTAAAAGCCGAGATATATAAGAGAGTTTACTTTGGAGCAAGCTTTAATCTGCCATTAGCTTGAGGAGTGACTCTACGACCAGGCGGAATAGCAATTACTCGGCCATCAGTGCCTTGTTGAGATGTATATCCTTGAGGAATAGCAACTACTCGGCCATCAGAACCTTGTCGAGATGTCCAACCATTAGGAATTGTTATTAATTGCCCATCACTGCCAGTTCTTTGTGTTGACATAAAAGCCTCTTGAAATTAGTAAGAACTAGATTTATAACACATTGAATATTAATATTATACTTGGAAATGGCTTTGTTGCATAAACCTAGCCTAGAAGGTTTATTCAGCCATATAATTTCAAAATGAATAAGCCTACCCCTAAAATCTATCGCACCACCAATTGGGCATCGTATAACCGAGCGTTAATAAATAGAGGAAACATCACCATTTGGTTTGATCCAACGACTCAATGGTATGCTCAGCCACAAGGTAGGCATGGGCGAAATCAAACCTATTCCGACACAGCAATTCAATGCTGTTTGATGATCAAATCTCTTTTTAGACTTTCTTTACGAATGGTCACAGGCTTTGTGCAAAGCATTATTCAACTTAGTGGGTTAAGTTGGACAGCACCGGATTATTCCACACTTTGCAGACGACAAAAACAGATTGATATTGCGATCAGCTATCAAAAAAGCCATGAAGGACAACATCTATTGGTAGACTCAACTGGCCTTAAGTTTTTAGGTGAAGGTTAATGGAAACGTAAGAAACATCAGCCTGAATACCGTCGACAATGGCGTAAACTTCACATTGGTGTAGATGCTAACACCATGCAAATACGTGCTATACAGCTTACAACCAATAATGTGAGTTTGGTGATTTAAGTAAGCCTATCATAGGTCTGTATTCGCAAATTAATAATTTAGTTAAAATTATTGAAAATATTTAAATTAAAAAAATTTCTATCACTTTGTTTCATAAAATATTATTAAGTTTTCTAACCCATCATAGGGCAGTTTTTTGATAGTTATACGTAGCCCATTCATTCATCAACCCTTTACGTTTTTCTAGATAGAATCCTTTGAGAAAATAATGAACAAATGGATAGAGTATCTATTAACAGTTGATAAGCAAAAAGTTAGTTTTGAAATATGATTAATGAAATTTACTCCCAACCCAGACTTTAAAAAGGTGGGTAAAAGGTTAAGTAGTGGGAGCAGGAAAAAGTACGCTAAAAATTAAATTCCTATTTTCAGCGTTTGATAGAAGATAGTGAATTATGGATTTATTGCACAAAGATCTCAAATTTTGAATTCCATCAAAGAGCCAAAGCAAGATGATGAATTATAAATGAAAGAAATATCACAACACAAAGTTACCGTACCCCTGTGTATTACGTGAATTTAACTTTAATGGATGGAGTCAATCTTCAACAATAAATTAAAGGATGTGTTTTAAAATACAGATTGTTGGGTCAATGGTAATGGATATCACAGCGCAAAATTGATAGAAGATTTAGAGGAAATATTGATTCATAAAAAGGTCAAGTTTTTTTTAGCTGTCAAATACGGCTTTGTTGCACAAACCTATCTCTAAAGGCTGATTCCACATTATAATTTTCAAATGAATAAGCCTCGCCCTAAAATTTACCGTACTCTTAATTGGTCTTTATAGGCAGAACAACAGAAGCTAAGGATAGCTATTGCTATAGACATTCACAGTTGCAAAATGCTGATCTTCATAAATCCCAGCATAAAATTGGAGGTTATTAACGTGGATAATGAAAAAAAATAATTAATATTTTAAGTTTGTCTTCTGAAGAAAGGTATGAATATTTTATTCGTAAGACAGTGGACTTTGAGCAAATTTGAGGGCTGTATAATAATGGTTGGGCAACTTCTGAATTTAATGGTGGTCATGTAATTCCTTTTTGGCCAGAAGAAACTTTTGCCGAACTTTGTGCTACTAACGAATGGGCTCATTATCACCCTAAAGCTATATCGTTAAATGATTTTATTGAACGATGGATAACAGGAATGCAAACAGATTGTCATGGTGCTTTAATTTTTCCTATTCCTCATGGTCAAGGCGTTTTAGTGCCTTTGAGTAAACTAAAAATTGATTTATTACAGGAAAAAGAACAGTATGAGTAGCATTCAGATGTAATATGAAACATACTGTCTTGATGGAAATTCGAAATAGAGATTTGATCATCAGACAACATTGAATCGCTGTGTCGGAATAGGTTTGATTTCGACCTTGCTTGCCTTGTGGCTGAGCATACCATTCAGTCTTTGGATTAAACGAAATGGAAATATTGCCTCGGTTAATTAAGGCTCGATTATAGGAAGGCCAATTGGTTTTACGATAGATTTTAGGGGCAGGCTTATTCATCTAAGAATTATATTGCTGAATAAGCCTTTAGAGATAGGTTTGTGCAACAAAGCCATTTCATAGTCATTATGTTTGAAAATGATCAGGCTTGGATATAACAACATTCATCGAAGATAGTAATGCATTAAAGCTTGTTGAATTAATTTTATATAAAGCATTTGAATACGAGGTATTTTAATCGTAATTTAGAATAAAATTAGCAGTTGAGTTTGCGCTCCCCGCTGATACATTTTTACCTATTGCAATATAGTTAGCAAAAAAAATTAGTTCTAAATTTTTACTATTATTGATATTTACTGGACTTGTCAAAGTTTCCATGGGCAGTTGTAGGCGATCTTTATTTAAAATTTGAATAGCAACATTTTTTGCAGTTGATTCATTTGATAAGGCTAAAAACTGAGGATTGGTTGCGTATTTTGGTCCATCAAATGAAACTGAAACATTTTTTGCAGTACAATCCAATAAGCGGATTGAAAAGGGTATAGGCCGTGTTTGATCACCTATATTGATAATATTTTTGGTTCCCCATGTTCCCAATGCTACATCTATACTTTTACTCTCAGGTGCTACAGTGCAAGTACGATCCACAATCAGCGCTTTAAAGCGTAAATTGATTTTTACTAAAGGGTCTGCATTTGAAAGAGGTGCGAGCAATATAGTGCTAGCTATAAGAAATTTTATCATATTCATTAGGTTACCTTGAACTACCTGCTGTTTGTTATTGAAAGTCAACTCGTATGTGACCTTGCGCTGCCACAGGTCCAGCTTGAGGAATTTCACCTGTTACACTCACTGGCCAAGATTTAAGTATAAAATTACTACGTGCATTATCATCTAAACGAAATGGAATATAGCTATTAATATTATTGGGTATAAGTACTCGTTCATTATTATCAGCTATTTGAAAACCAACATCTGGATTATTTGAAAGAATAATATTATCTTTTGGATTAGCGACTTCAAGTCGTGCAGATAACATTTGTTGCGCATCAATATTCTTACAATCAATTCCAATGTTTTTAGTGATTGTATTAACACCTTGAGCTCTGTTTCCTGCACCTACTGAGAATGCACCTGATGAAATTTGCCCAAAATCAAATTCAATAACATCCCCTACATCAAAACTGCAGGACTGCGGCACTGTAAATTTTGTATTTAATTTAATAATTACAATTGGTTGTGATGGATTGTCATTGGCAGACGTAGCAGCATAAACAAGTCCAATATCACGATTGACTAAAAAACTTTGACCAACAAATTTCTTTTTGATTCTCAGTTTAATTTTGACTTTACTTCCAGTGGTTAACTCTGGGTTGCACGACCCTCGCGAACAGAAATTACTGACTGCATTTTGCGGGATATTTACAAATTCACGTCGAAATCCTTGAATCCAGACTTGCATTGCGACTTGTAGATAATCATTATTGGGTATATCAAACCATTGAGCCCCTCCATCACTACCTGCAATTGTTAAACCTGGTCCTTCTTTTAGTGTAAAGTACATATCACTATTACGTCCTGTACATGGTCCAATAAAGTAAGCTCCCCCAACACTTAAATCTCTCCACGGTGTTGAAAACCCGATATAGTTTTGTGATGAATCAAAACTGTAATCAAAATTGAATTCATGAGGAGAAGCAATAGGATAACAATCTGCTGCATATGCTGAATCAATACTAAGCATCGCCATCATAAATAAAACTGGTTTAATTAAGCGTTTTAATGCAGGTTTGGTTATTGATCTCATTTAATTATTTCCTATTGGCAATTTAGTTCAAATGTTGTAATACCTACATTTGATATTTTTTTATCAAATGTATATGAGGTGTTACAACTTTCCTTTTCTGTTGAGCCCCAAGAAATTTTAAATGTTCCGTTTTCTGCTAAACCACTTAAATATGTTTGTCCGTCTTGACCGACGATACTCGTAATATTTTGTTTTTCTTCTGTCACAGTTGAACCATATGGTACATAAGTACCTAGGTTTTTAATCGTAATCAGTGCTCTTTGCCCAATACGCGTATCAAATTTAGCGTATACAATGGCACCTTTCATTGGAACTAGATTCTGTACATTATTTAAAATTTCAGTCTGATCATCTAAAGTATTCGTTTCTAATGCAATACGATTTAAACGGTAGTTTTCAGCAAAAGGTAAAATGGCATAACCTTTTGAATTGGTATGAATATTGGTTGAATTTTCCAGTTTTACATTTTTTGCACCTTGTGCATCGACTAATACATTGGTGTCACCCAATGTTTGACCTAAAGTCAATCCACCTGAATGCAGAATCATGCCGCCAGCAAGATCATAATTAAAGCTTTTTTCTTTACCGCCGTCACTAAAACTAAAACCAACTCCAGCACTACCATATTTTGTTTCTAAGCGAGCAGAAGCTGTACCAAAACCACCTGTATCATTATGACCTTGTTGAAGGTTATAACTGAGTTGACGATTTTCCCCTAAAGAACCGTTAATACCAGTTTGTATTGAATCATTACCAGATGAGTTTTGAACAACACTTGAGTTACTGTATATATCATTACGCACACGATCTCGATGACCAAAAAAGGCATTAAGCGGTATTGCGATACTGGCAGCAATTGAATTGTTTTTATCATTATAAATGTTTGGTGAATCCTGCATTAACCATGATAATGAATAAGTAAAATATTTAAGTGAATTTGAGTAACCAACTTGATAGTTCTTTGATGGTTTTGGCGCATTCCAGTATGATTGATAATTGGCTGAAGCATATAAAGAACCGTACTGACCTAAGTTTTGATTAATGTTGAGTTGAAAACGGCCTTTTTTAACATAATTTAAATTGTAATATGAACTTGAGTCATAATGACTATTACCAAAGTTATCAAATTTTTCTTCAGGCTCAAATTGTTCCATAGATTTATACGCAACATCATTGAGTGTATAAAAGCCTTTAGTTGAATATCGATAGCCTAAAAGCTGTAATGTTGTTCCTAATTTATTCAATGATTTTGAGTAAAGTAAACGATAAGATTGGCCTGTATAATCCTTTTTGTCAGCTAAGGTACTATCGGCATGAGTCACATCAAAAGAAAATGCCCCCCATTCCCCCATATTTTTACCAATTCCAAGCAATGCAGATTTATAATCTGAAGCTAACTGTGTCCCTCCAAAAAGTGTAATACCTCTATTAAAACCACGATTTAAAGTTCCTTGGAAAAATAAGGGATTTTCTTGATCTTTATTACCAGTCCTAAACTCTCCTGCTGTAACATCAAAAGTTGTCCGTCCTTCACGTAATAGCATTGGAATACCTGAATATGGAACAATAAAATGTTGTATTGGACCAGCACTTTCTTCTACAGTGACATCTAAATCGCCACTCAAAGCCATTGCTGTTAAGTCCGTAATTTCAAATGGACCTGGGTTGACATTAGTTTGATAAACAATATAGCCATTCTGACGAATGGTAAGAATACTTTTACTATTTGCAATACCACGGACAACAGGGGCATAGCCTTGCATACTGCTTGGCAACATGGCTTCAGAACTATATAAGCGTGCACCACGAAAACCTGTGCTGTCGAAAATCATGTTTTGAACATTACTGTCCCCAACAATTAATTCACTTTTAAGAGGGATAATTGATTTTTCGAGATAATTTTGAACATTATTCCACTTAGATATATGAGCACCAGCATCTTGATGATTAAAGTAATTATAGGTCGAAATATTTTTAAACCTGAAACCTGCTAAATTGAATCCAGAATTTAGTGATACAAAAATGTTGTCACTTTTACTGGTTGTATTACCATTTAAATTATAATTTAAGTAAGCAGCAGTAATCCCAGAATCCCATTCGGAAGGGGGAATATAACCTTGTGCATGACTTTTCATCCAAAGTTGTGGAATACTGATATCAAGTCGTTGTAAATTAAAGTTATAAACTATATCTGCATCTAGAATATATTTTTTCAAATCGATGCATTTTTCTTCTTTTAACTGTTCTACTTCTGGAAGGTCATATATTTTAACACCTAATAACAATAACCATTTACTATCTATACATGGAGCTAAACCACCAGACACCGAATCACTTTTTTCGGTTTGATTAAAGTTTAATTCTTTACTGACAGTAAAGTTATCATTGACATATACATTAACTCGATAGTTACCTGGTAATTGAAAGCCTTGTTCAAAATTAGATAAATCAGCAACCTGAGAGTTTCCTGTATTTAATAATAAAGCAGGATTAAAATAGTCTTGTGCTTGCACTAAATTAATAGTGAAAAAAAGAGAGCAAAAAGCAGTATTAAAATATAATATTTTTCTGAGGGAATATAGCTCTATCATGTTATTTACTCTTTGCTTTTATTGGATATTGATTTTCCGCTCTTGGGTAAATGCACCATAATCATTAATTGTTTGGAATGTTATGTTGTGGCCGAAATGGTCTAAAGGCTTTTCTGAAAAAGGATCTAACATAAAAGTAGTTTGTGGTTGAGTATCAACTGTTAAATTTGCGACAGTCATAAAATATGGTGTCGGATTTTTCATTACGACCTTATTTTTTTGAATAGAAACCTCTAATAAACTTGGCGCATCCTCAATACGAATTGATAAATTTTCAGGGCGAATCATCATTTTTATTCGAGATAAAATGGCTAATTGAAGAACATTTTGTTTTTCTAATTCTTCTTTACTCACAGATGGAATTGCTTGAACATTTAAGTAATACAGTGTTTCTCGATCACGGGCTAAAGTTTGATTTGTATTAATTATACGTAACGAACTTTCAGATTTAGCTTCACTTACAAACATTGGTGGAGTCACAATGACAGTTTTAATTTTTTTTGATGATGCATCTTCAATCCAAGTATTAATTAAAAATCTTTTATTCGTGGTGCTATTAATCACAGGCATAGATGCTTGTTTTTTATCTTGTTCGTAAATTAATCTCGTTGCACCTAAAGCAATGCCACCATTAGCATATGTCGCATTAATACAAAATACTGATGTTACGACAACACTTGAGATGAACTTAAAATAGTTACTTAACATTGTTTGTAATTCCAATATTTTTTAGTCAATCAAAATTAGATTAAATATAAAAAGGTGCTCCTACTTTAAATAAGAGCACCTAATAATTAATTAGTTATAAGTAATTGTGAAGTTGGCATCAGCATAAGCCTGACCAGCTGTTGCAGCTGCAGCAGTTGATTTATAACGAGCAATGAAATTAAAAGTGTTATTACCATTAATAAGGCTTTGTGCGTTAGAAAGAACAGTACCGTCTGGCGTTAAAATACCACCTTTGCTATCAGAAATTTCTACACCAACTCCAGTAGCACTAACCGCATTCGCAGCAGGACCTGAATGAATTTTTAATAATGTTGCATCAGTTGCATCTTGAGGACCTGAGAATGCAAATTGAGCAGTTTTAGAAATTGCTGAATCACAGTCAACTAACTTAATTTGAAAAGGTACATTTGAGGTATAATCACCAGCTTTTGTGATTTTAGCAGTACGATGTTGACCAAGATCTACAGTTTGATTTGCAGTATCTGAACTCACAGCACAAGCAGCATTAACAAATTCACCTTTAAAGTGGACAGTACCACCTTCAACAGTTGGTGCTGCTTGAACTAAACTAGATGCAACAAGAGTGGTTGCTGCTACTAAAAAAGAAATTTTCATTTATAACTCCGATGTTTTAATTTGATATTTCATTTCACGATAAATAAATAAAATGCATGATGGTTCGCCTTTTATTGTTCGGCAATTTACGAAAACAAATCTTAGAAGTAAAGAAAAGTATATGTTTTTTATATAATAATTTTAAAATGTATTTTTAGTTTTATTTAATATGTTGATTTTCAATCAATAAACCTAAAAAATAGAATTTTGAATTGATTTTATTTATGTTTTAATTATAAATGTAATTGTTAAATCTCTAAGATTATTTAGTGTAAATTTAAAATAGAAAGAGAAATAGAGCATAATTTATTGAGGGTTTGTTTAATAAATATTTAAGCTTTAAAGCTTTCTATATATAACGTATATCATTTACCTAATTATGTAATTTTTATTATGACTACAATATATTTTGGATTTAGATAAGAGTTTATTTATTCTTGTTGAGTAAATTAAATAAGTTTAATAAAAACGTTTAAAAATAATCATTCAAATCGTAGAGTATTGCTGCAAATTATTGAGTCTTTATTGACTAATTTGGTAAACAAAAAATATTCATTTTTGTCTAAAAGGACGAATGTCATGTTCATACCACTAAGTCAATCATGCTGTTCGATACTTCACTAAACATTTTCAAATCATGATTAGGGTTTAAATGTCATATATCTCAGATTATCTAAATGCTTAAAATAGTTTAAGCAAGGAAGTTTTCTTTTTAACTGAATTTTTATTAAACCTCTTTCATAAATCAAAAAACGTTCATCTTCTTGTTTAATATTCATCCTGCAAAATTTAAGATTTTCAAGCATAATCTGTGTATAAAATATCTCGATTCAAAAAAGCTTTCTGATTCTCAGTTTAAGCGCTATACAGGCATATCTCGTTCGACATTTTCTCTAATGGTTGAACAAATGCAGATGCAAATTCCTTCTAAAGGCAGGCCACCGAAACTCTGTCTTGAAGATCAAGTATTACTCTGCTTAAGCTATTGGAGAGAATACCGAACCTTATTTCATGTTGCTGCAAGCTACGGTGTATCAGAGCCAACAGCTTCCAGAATTGTTCGTCAAGTTGAAGATCGTTTAATCTAGTCAGGTTTGTTTAATTTACCCAAAGATATCCCCGAAGGTGAAGGTATAGACTGGAATGTAGTGATCGTAGATGCCACTGAAATTCCAATTCAAAGGCCTAAAAAAACAGAAGAAAAGCTATAGTGGTAAGAAAAAGGCTCACACATTTAAGGTGCAAGCGATCATTCATTGTAAAACTCAGCAAATACTAAGTTTATGCATGAGCAAAGGCGCTGTACATGACTTTGAACTGTTCAAACGCAATCTGCATTTAGTCCCAACAAATTTATTTATTCTTGCAGATAAAGGTTACCAAGGGACTTATGCTATATATCCCAATAGCTTGTTACCGTGCAAGGCTAAAAAACGTTGTGAATTAGATCCTTTGCTAAAAACATATAATCGAGAAATTAATAAAAGAAGAATAGGGATTGAGCATGTATTTAGAACATTAAAGACTTTCAAAATCCTTGCAGAGCGTTATCGAAATAGAGGGAAAAGACTTGGCTTAAGGTTCAATTTGATTACAGGTATTTATAATTTAGAACTGAGTAAAAAGTGAGTTATGAAAGAACTCTAGTGTATAAGCAAATAAAATACCGCCTGGCAAAATATATTCACTCACATGAGTCAATTTCTTATGATTCTCAAAAAATTAAATACATAAGTAAATGTATACTGCTTATTAAATTTAATATGTATTTAATTGGTATTAAATTCCGCATTGTGAAATTAAATTTTATAAAAATATTGATTTGGCAAAAAAAATATCGCAGAATGGAAAAATTAAGAGAATTATACCAATCTATGATGCTGTATTTATAAACAGTCAGGTCTATGATTTTGTATAGATTTCTACTCCAGATGGCAATAACTTATGATCGTATGAGTGCTTTGGATATAGGAGATCATATTAGTGTATACAGAGCGGGTATAGCAGAACATCAGTTTGTTATTGTACTGCATTGCTGAGCTTTAATTATGAGGTTTCCTTTTTTATTAATATATTTCAATTGCTTGTGGTTGTGTCTATGAATTTTAAAATTCAACTCTACTCAGCAAAATTCATTTTTCTCGATAGAATTTACTACCATAGTGATGGTGAAATTATTAATAAGAAAGCTAATGGAACACAAAGTACAAAATAAAGATGGAGCATGAGCGTTATGTGTAAAACAATTAAAGATTTTTTCTTGGTCAATAATTGTCTTATTTATATAAAAATATGACTTCCGTTTAATAGATCATTTTTGGGAAAATTATGATCTAAGAAATCACTGCTTAACATAATAAAAATGAGGCAAGGAGAGAGGCCTCATAACTTTACACTGAGGATATGAATATGAATACACAAATAGTAAGTTCTCTGATTGAAGAAGTCAACCAAACTCCTAAGCGAATCTGGATGACTGCATTTATTTTCTGTTTTTTGGTTTTGTTATGTGATGGTGCTGATATTGGAATTTTAGCATTCACCTTGACAAGCATAAAAGCAGAATTCGATTTAACAAGTGTGCAAGCTGGTGCATTAGGCAGTTGGTCAATTTTCGGGATGGCGATTGGTGGTTTATTGGGTGGCTGGGCAAGTGATCGTTTCGGACGCGTTCGTATCATTGTCATTTCAACTATCTCGTTTGCTATTCTTTCCTCATGTACTGGTTTTGCACAATCTTATGATCAGGTTGTTATATTGAGAACGTTGACCTGTTTGGGTTTAGGGTGTTTATATATCACTTGTAATACCCTGATGTCAGAACTTGTGCCAACTAAATATCGTACAACTATCTTAGCCACTCTAATGACAGGTTATACATTGGGCTCACTAGTGATTACAGGGTTATCAGGTTGGATCATTCCTGAATTTGGTTGGCGGATATTGTACTTTATTACAATTATTCCTTTAGTTTTGGGGATTCTCATGTTCTTTTTAGTACCTGAACCAGAATCATGGAAAAAATCGCGTGCTTTTAAGCTTGAAAATCCTGATGCAGGTATTGTTAAAAAAGGACAGAACCCATATATCGCATTATTCAAAGATAAAAAGCATGGAAAAATGATGATGTTATGGTCATTTAGTTCGGGTTTTCTTTTATTTGGATATTTTGGTGTCAGTAATTGGTTACCTTCATATCTAGAAGCAGAACTGGGTATAAGTTTTAAGAAAATGGCAGTTTATATGATTGGCACATTCTTGACTATGATGTTTGCCAAAGTGATTGCAGGTTTTATAGCAGATCGTATTGGCCGTCGTATTGTATTTGCCTTTGGGACTATGGGTACAGCGATCTTTATTCCAATAGTAGTGTATTTCCATACATCTGAAAACATCGGTTGGTTAATGCTGATTTTCGGCTTTCTTTATGGTATTCCTTACGCGATTAATGCCACATATTTAACAGAAAGTTTTCCAACTTCGATTCGCGGTACAGCCGTAGGTGGCGCATTTAACGTTGGACGAATTGGAGCTATTCTTGCGCCAATTACTATTGGTTACTTAGCATTACATGACTCAATTGGTGCAGGGTTATTACTAATGGGTGTAGCATATTTGCTTTGTGGTTTAATTCCAATATTATTTATTAAAGATAGGTTATATGATCCACAAAGGGCTGAATGATCAAAGAAGGAAAATATAAAATGATAAATAAAATTACACAAGATATTGAATCTGTTTTAAAACAAATTCCTGATGGTGCAACAATTATAACCAGTGGTTTTTGTACATCAGGTCAACCAGAAGCATTAATTGATATTAAAACTAAAGAGTTGACTATTATTAACAATAATTCATCTTGTGGTCCAAGGGATTAACTAAACTTTTATAGATGGATGATTGAAAAAGTTAATTTGCACATTTCTAAAATCATTTAGTTCTACATTTTTTCCTTATATGTATTTTATAGGAGAAATGAACTTAAATTGGGGCCACAAATTAGTTTGGTATATTGAATTCAGGCTTTAGGTGGTGGTTTAAGTGCAATATTTACTTTTGTTCGTTATGGAGAAAAAGCCCCTGACGTAAAGTAAAGTATTAGATTTAATTATATACTTGTGTATCCATTTGACTTGAAAATGATTTTACTTTGATTAAGGCAAATTAAGTAGGTCTCTTGGGTAATTTGAACTATCGAAAAGCCCTGCTTAATTTTGATCCAATTATGGCGAAAGTAGAGATGAATAACATTGTTAAAATCAATGAAGAGGGAAAGTTGGGTGAAATTATCCTGAAAATATCGTCCTATAGGAATTTTTGTACAGTATGTAAGAATGAGTATGGGATATATGCAGATTCTAAAGCATACTTTTGAAGCAACAGTACAGCTCATTATTCAAGATATTCGAGTTGGGTCTTATGTTATTTAAGTATTGGATTGCCAAATAATTTCGCGAAACACATACCTAGAGGTAAAGATATTTTTTACATTCAAAGAATGGAATCCCAACACTATTTAGCGAAAAATATGAGCTTCTAGTCAATGCTTGTAATGAACTAATTACCTTAATGGAGTATGAATGTTTTATATATTTTGATGACTTCAACATTATATATGTTGGTAATCTTGATATCTGTGTGACTGATGCAATTAAGTTTACTATTAATGGCTATTTCAAAAATTACATACAATAAAAAAATTATACTGTGGTTGACTTAGTAAAAGATTTAGCTTTTGGTTTGATATTTATATTTTTAAAAGAGAATAACTAAAAAAAATACAGCATTAGCTTGCATAAATATTAATTCGCAAAATTGTAATCTTCACTTTTTATTAAATTTAAATGAAAAAGTACCACTTAAGATAATAAATATATAAAAGTAATAACTGAAAATCGGAGAAATAATGGTAGTGATAAATGGTCAGTAATGTTGTAAGCCTCAATCATGTATTTATGATTCTAAGAAACAACAGGGTTATGCCTTTATAAATAAAATTTTGATGTTAATTATTATAATTTACCGATTGATACATATTATGGTATTTTAATTTAGCTATTATTGGAATATTAAATTACAACTAACTCTCTAATAATATTTAAGTTTTCTAAAGAAAAAATTCTTATGGTTTTTTATAAAAAATAAATTCTCTTTAAGTTTTTGGAGATTATATTAATCAATATTTTATATAATGTTGTATTTATTTGAAATGAGAATTAAGTGATTTTTTCTTAATTTAAAATTAAATAATTTTAGTGGATTTTCAAATAGAGATTTTTTTTGTTTTTTTAGAGGCGAGTGTATGGATTTTATTATGTTTTAAATAGTGTATATACAATAATCAGCATATGTTTTTTTTATAAGGAAAATATTATAATGTGTTTTTTTAATGGAGCTTTTTTTGTGCGCGCTTATACCTATTTTCGTGTTAATGAATTTTCTGAAGAAATGGTTCAATATAGCAATTTTCTATCAATGGTAGGTTTAGAAATCCCCAAGAGTAGGATGATTGTTGAAGAAGTGAAAAATGCTGTTTCTTTAAAATATAGAAATAAATTTCTATATTTAATTAACCATTCTATGCGGGGTGGAGATTGTTTGTTTATAAGTGGGATAGATTCTTTAGGTAGTAATTTTAGTGAAATAAATTCTAGTATAAAATTAATTTTTAATAAAAATATTAAATTAGTGTGTTTTGATTTTTCTACTAAAGAAATTAATGGTGATGTTCAAAAAATTTTTATTCATTTTCTGGAACTGGCTTCTGATTTTGAAGAAGCAATATGTCATTCAAAAAAAATAATACCTAATAAAAATGTAAAAAGAGCTGGACGCCCTGAAATACTTAATAAAAAACAAAAAAGTGAGGCGATGGCTTTGTTTAAGAAAGGTCAAAGTATTTACTCAATTGCGAAGCATTTCTCTGTTACTCGAACAGTAATATTAAGATTGATTTCAAAATCCTCAATTAATATATCTTCAGAGTAGAGTTAAATGAATATAAATACTGAATATTATAAAACTAGCAGGTTTGCAATTGCTCATAAAAATAATGATTTAAAAATAAATACTATTGTTAAGGTTGTTTATTATTTAAGCTTTAAGTCGAAATGTAAAATAGAACCTAAAATTAATAATAGCGTAATTGAGGTGGAATCGTTGAGTGGTTCTAAAAAATATGAAGTTATTGAGATAAAGTTTAAAGTTAATAAAATCTTTTTTTTAAAATCTGGTGAGTTGTATTTTATTGATTTAAATAAATCAATATTTGATTTTATTTGATTTTATTTGATTTTATTGTTCTGTATTTTTAAAATTTAAAAAAATTGAGTTGTTTTTAGTGAGTATGTTTCTGTATTTTAATGAGTTTTATGGGGTTGTATTGTTTTTAAATAAAGTAATATAATTTTAATTATAGATTGATTTATCTAAGGAATAAAGTTTATAGAGTGGTTCGTAAATCTGGTTTTTTACAATAGTTATCTGATATTCGACTAATTTAGATAAAATTAAATTTTCAATCTATAATGGAATGCTTAAGCCTATTCAATAAATAAATGTTCATGGATTTCCTATTTCTTGATCGCACAAGCCTATTGCTGAGTGCTAATTTGGTATAATTATTATTTATAAATGGACTGATCCTAGTCGAATTGGGGTTGGTACACCAGGTGCTGATTTTAATGTTGGATATGGTGTTGAAGGTCAAGGCCGCTCTCTTACAGAGAAAATTAGGGATTTAATATGAAATTTAGTAGTTTAAGTTTTTTAATATGTTTTATGATCGCTTTAATGGGATGCAATAGTAATAAGATTTATGATGAACCATCAGATAAATACCCATTTGATGAAAAAATAAAAACTGTTTTAGGTGAAAAATTAGAAGTTGTTAATTCATTGAATAGAGCAGAAGTTCAGTTAGCGTATATCGAGTTACCTGCAAACTCTATAAAAACTAAAAAAATAATAGACTTATTGGAAAAAGATGGCTGGATACTTAAAGGGCAAGGAATAAGTGTCGATACATATTGTTTAGGTTCAAAAAATAGCATCAATATAGCTAGTCCCATATCATTTAATGCGACAGATTTTAAAGGAAATAAGGTTAGAGTTACAGAAACGGATGTAGACATAATTTCTTATAGTTATAACAAGTGGGGAGAAGAACTTTGTGAATAATTATTTTCAGTCAAACGTGGAGAAGGAATTGTTAAAATTGATAGACTAGGAGATCCTAAATATTCAGGAATGCAGAAAATGGAGCTAGAAAGCATTTCAAATGGAGGTCTAAAATCAAATGTCCATTATGTACGAGACCCTATTACAGGAAAAACTATGGATTTTAAGTTTAAATCTCACAGTACTGACTATTTGCATAATTATGAAAAAGTTAGAGAAGCTGGGTTAAGAACAAGAGTAGGTGAATGAATGAAAGTATTATGTGTAATTAATAACATTTATCAATTGAAAGAAATTTCAACTGTAGAACGTTTGAAAAAGTATATCCATTTATCAGATGGACAATTAAATTTGGAGAAAAATAAGGAATATAATGTTTATGGCGTTTTTTTTAGAGATAATTCTCCTTGGTATTATATTAATATAGATGATGAAACTTTAGAACCAACACTATATCCAGCAGAAGTTTTTAATATTACGAATAAAAACTTATCATCATATTGGCAACTCTCATCAATTATTTACCCTGATGGAATAAAAGTGACTTCATTGGTATTTGATGAGTGGGCAAAAGATTCTTTATTTTATGAACGTCTTATTGATGGTGATCCTGAAGCTATTGCATTATTTAAAAAATATAAGATATTGATGGATAAAGAATAAAACTGGTTGTTTAAAAGATATGATACAGCTGATTGTAGTCCCAACTATGGTATGAACACCCGCTTGGGCTAAAGGTGCCACAGGGGCAGTTGGCTCAGGAATAGGCGCTGACTCAACAGTAGGAAAGGAATAATGAATCTTAATTATTGAATCGTACCGACTATATCGGAGACAGATTATTTTGAGTTCGTATATTATTTTGTTTAAGTTGGGTTTCTTATTGATGCCTCTGCCATTTAAGGCAGAGGCATAGTTTTTATGCTACTTATTTTTTATGTAATACAAAATTCAGCCCAATCAGCCATTAGACTTTTACGCTTTTCCAAATAAGCTCCGCGTAAATAAGCAGCTTCTACTTCATCAGGTAGCTTATGTGCGAGTACATGCTCACAAACTTCACGTGGGTAGTCAGTTTTGTCTGCTGACCAGTCACGAAAAGTAGAGCGGAAACCATGTGTTGTAATCACTCGCTTTTGTTTAGGGTCAATATAGCCTAAGCCATTTTCTTTAATTTTTTGTTCGTGCATACGCTTAATCAAAGCTGTCAGTGACATATCGGAAAGCATGCCACCACTACGCGGAGCTGGAAAGATAAAATCCTGGGGCTGGGTATACTGTTTAATGGATTCAAGCATTGTGATGGCTTCTTGGGATAAAGGAACACGATGTTCCTTATCCGCTTTCATACGCTCTTTAGGGATGATCCAAACTTTAGATTCAAAATCTATTTCTTGCCATTTAGAACCAAAGATTTCACCTGAGCGACATGCTGTTAAAATAGCAAATTCCAGTGCTTTTGGGGAAATACCTTCTTTCTGGCGCAGATGCTGAACAAATTCTGC